TGAGCTATAATAAATTCAATTCAAGAGCTATCTTATTCTGACTAACTAGACAAGAAATTTCAATTGTTAGAACCTTTGAGACAATATAATCAAAATAAAAATATTTAAAAATAACATGTCTATTATTAAATAGATGGTAAGATATAACATATTTAATGTTATGATCTTAAAAGAGACTCTTGATATTTGGTAATATTATTACAAATAGAAATAATTCTAGATAGTATTTTAAATATTTTATTTGAAGAAAGTTATAAAGGCATCAAAAATGATTAAATAATAAGGTGGTCTTTTTGCCTTGGTATGAAACACTATCAATGGTTAAGAGCACATATCAATCATCTTTAAAGAGAAGAAAGATGAGAATGTGTAGCAAACACAATTTACTACATCTTGAATTCTTTCAACATATGATGATTACTTTCCATGGAATTCATCTCTAGAAGGAAGATAATGTCAAGCATATACATATTTATTTTAATAATTACGTATGTATTTATTTAGAAATAAATAAAAGTAGATTAATTTCATGATATCTTTTATAAAAGCTTCATAGAAGCTTCATAGATATTGCCTTGACTTTACATGTTTTTGTAATTGATTAGTAAGTTGGAAAGTTAATCAACAAGTTAGCCATATCTCACATATATTTGTAGTTTATGGAACAAATTAATTATGTGGCACACATATAAAAAACTTACATTACAAGTTAAGATATATGTCTTGTAAAGTCAACATATATTGGAAGTCCTATAGAACATTGTCATGTAGCTCCTAATCAAATAGTATATGTAGAGGTAAGAATAAAGCCTTCTTTATTCTTGCCAATGCCTTTCTATTCTTTAGTCTTGTTTTAAGACTTTCTAATCTTTTTATTGTTGGAAATAGCCATTTTAGTTTAATATATTACTATCTTTGAGTAACTTTTTAATCTTTTCAAGTGATACAAGAGTGTATTGAGTTTTTCTTTCTTTGAATTTTATGTCCTTAACATTCTACATGAGATTGTTCAAGGCTAATAATTTTTAGTAAATTTTAATTTGCAGCAATAAACATAATTAAAAGCTTGTAGATACCAATAATAATATAGTTTTATACAAGCTTGAAGCTATGAAGTTGGTGTCCATTGCATAAATTTTTAATTTTAGAATAGCTCTAAAATGCATATGGACCTCCTTACAAATAGAAAATTTTAGCTTATGCACAATCAATTAGACAATCTACAATAAATAAATGTCCTTTTTCAAACCTAAGTTGCAAAATTGATCCTTACTTTTTTTTCTTATAAATACCATCTAAAAAAATAGACATCATTTCAATTATTAATGGAATAATTTCAATAAGATTAAATATTTATTTCATATCAATCCAAAGTTTAATCAAGTTAATAAAGAGATATCTATAAATTCTTGTAATTTATTGTATGTATAAAACAAAAAATTTAAGATATTGATGATTTATATTTTTGGCATGACAAGTTTTAATATTATATTTATTATTGTAGTAGATTTTTTGCATGAAAAAAGCAAAGCATATTGTACATGAGCGTTGGAGTAGCTAGCCCAACTATTTCTTTGTTAGAAATTAATTATAAAAATATCAAATAGCAAGCTTGCATTAATCCATATACTTATACAAGATTATTTTTTTAACTTGCAATTACTTCTTTGTCTTTGGCACATTATTTAAATATACCATAGCACTAAAAAAGATTAAAAGGAATTTGAAAAAATTTAATAGAATGTATTCTACTATCATATCATGCATGTAATTAAAATGCATTAAAGTAAGTCAAAAGCCAAGTACCAAGCTATGTAAATACTTTTTAATTATTTCAAAAATACTTGAATTAAAGATTACAAGTGCGATCTTATCAAATAGATACTTCTAATTTAGAAATGTAAACTAATTACCTTTAGAAGATGCTCACTTTATGTTGAAGGATTATCTATAAAATCAACCTAAGAGTTTTTTTAGATTCAAGTTAGTTTGGCATAAACATTTGTGACTTGGATAAATTAAATTTAAATTAAAATAAAAAAGAAGTACATATATATTTATCATAATTATAGCTAATAATTTTATGAGAATATGATTTTAAATATTGTTGAATTTTTATTTAATAAAGTATAAAAATAATTTTTAAAGGTATATAAAATGGATAGGCTTTATTTTAAGATTTTTATTCAAACAGCGTAATTGCCTTATATGCAATCAATGAATAAAAATCTTTAGGCACATTTATTCTGAAAAAAAAAAAAAAAAAAAAAAAAAAAAAAAAATCTACTTTAGCATCTCATAGAAATTGTACAATTATCACAATACTATATTATTTCAAAGGAACAAGACAAAAAAGCTCAAGATTTTGGTATAACAAACATGTTGTAAGATGCTTAGGATATTTACACAATGTCACTACAAATACTTGAAGCCCTTCTTGTCATTGTAAATAATACATATCAGCTAGTAGTCTACTATCAACAAGAAAATATTCATAAGTTATTTATTTGGCTTAATAGATATGTCACTTAGGTATAAAAACCATCTATTATTAGGAAATTAGGATCAAGCAATAATAGCTAATCTAATGAGTTGCTTGAAATCAAATATTGATATACCAAGAACCTTTACAATTTGAAATAATTGAAGTCTTATCATTAATCCCTAATAATGTTAGGTCTTGCATATCTAAGAAATGCAAGATTTGCAATTTTCAAAGGTATAATTTTTGGACATGTATTCAACATCCAATGTATATTGTATGAGATTTTGATAGATAAAATTGTTAATTTTTTATTTAGTGATATATACAAAAAAAGTATATATATATATATATTTTATTTTGATGGAAATAGAAATTAAATTTTATTATAAAATATTGTCAATTAATATAAAAGGTGGCTAATCTATTGCCATTTTCTATAAGAATCTTATCAAATTTATTTAAAATAAATTGCTAAAAATAAAGAAGTCAAAAAATTAAAACTAAGCTGAGGTGTAATACAACCAACTTATAAAGAATAAATAAGTGGCTTGAAAATAAATAGCTTATATAGAATGATTAATTGGCTTAGAATAAATTAATGCATAATTAAAAGTAGAAAGAAGTAAATATATTTATATTCTATAATACTTTATAAATATTTTTATTAAATTTAATTCAATTTAAGTTTTTAAATATTTTTTAAATAATATTTTTTTAACCTTTTTTATTACTTTAAATATTAAGTTTTGATAAAAAAAAATTATATACATCATCTAACTTAGAAAATTTAACAAACAATCTTAGAAAAAATCGGTAATACTTTTTCTATTTAATTTTATATATAGATAGATGCAGAATAGATCTATCCTTTAAAAAACTCATTCTTTGATTATTTCAATGATTGTGGTCTTTTAAATATATAAATCTTGAATTTATACATATATAAATTTAATTTTATATATTATAATTTATTTTATTTATTATAATTTATTTTATTTATTTTTTAGTATCTAGTACATAGGTGGCTATTTAATTTTTTCTATTATAATCATATTTATTAAAAAAAATTATTATTAAAAATTATATCAAATACCAAAAATATATAAAGATTGATATATTTGATTATAATTTTTAATTAATTAAAAAAATCTTAGTTTCTAATTTATTATTTTTAATAAAAGAAAAAAATTATTTATATTTTATTAAAGTTTTTATCAAATTTTAATGTTATTTAATATATATGTTTTGTAGGATTAAAAAATTGTATACTTACTAAGTAGTAGTTTAAGGAAAAAATGTCCAAAAAAAAATACATAGCTAATTATCTAATTGTGAATTTATTTATAGTTAAGCATCTATTATTAAAACTCAAGTTTCTTTTAGCTATTTAGGAGGTCTTTATACAAGATGAAAGCCACAACTATTAAATCTAATGATTGACTAAAATCACTAAGTTTTTCAATTTGGGCCAATTAAAGAATCTAAAGATTTGTGACCTCCTAAATAAAATCTGGTCCCCTAAGTACAAAGACCCCTAAGTACCCCAATCTTGTCCCCCAAGTGCTTTTTTTTCTTCTTCTTTCTCTTTACTTTGCAGCTCTATGTTTGAAATGGTTTCTTCCATGTATTATTTATTTTTCTCTTTCCTATTTTTTCGTGTGTAATTTGATTGTTTATTATTAATAATATTACCACAGCAATCATTAAAGATATTTAGATATTTGAATTTTCCAACATCACTTATAGTCTAATGTAAGTGTGGCATCAAAAACAGATGGTAAAGCCAAACACTACATCACATCTAGTATACAAGAATGTGGAGAATTCACAAGCTTTCAAATTCTAGACACTGGAGCACTAATTTCAAAGTGAATGATCATCTTAAGATTTGACCCACATATTTGTGAAATCAATCCTCATGATATTACAAATAGATGCACCATCTTATTGTACTTAAAAAACTTCTTTTTACTGGTTCAAAGGTTGTTTGACTGCTATGAAAATCAGGTTTTAAAAATCACCAGAAATAAATGGATAAAAAAAGAGTTGAATTTTCTCCTTTAATCAAAAAAGGAAAGAAAAGAAAAGAAAAAAGAAAAAGAAAAGAAAAGAAAAAAACGAATCAATAGTTTTAAAGTACACAAGGATGACTGACCCCGAGCATAGAAAACATGGATTCATTCACAAACATGGAAAGGTTTGTGTCGTTTCATTCACAGGGGGATAAGGTTAAGCGAAGTGGGCCAGCCAGCCAGTCGCGTTGTGTAGCAAGGGAGAAGGGGAGAACGCACCTTCTCTCACAGTAGAGCTCGCCATGGAGCTGGAGGCTCAAATTTTTGGGCCAGCTCGTACAGACAGGCGAGATGCTCGCAGTGATCTGATTGACGGTACTTGCTGCATGATGCGAAGATACATGAGAGGTGGAGCGGATTGAAGGTGGCAATGCAGGAGGGGGAGCAGGATGAAGGAGGGGCCGGATGCGGAGGGGGTTGTTCATGTCAACGTAGCCAGTGCTCCAGAGTGCTGCGCATCATGACCATGATGCGAATGCGAAGCACAAGAGGGAAGGGAGTACGGGTCGCAGAGCACGATGAGTCTGCAAGGAGTCTAAATCGAGGATGCAACCAAAGCAGCGCATCGAGTGGCACGAGCTGAGGATCACCAAGTCAACCAGAAGAGTAGACAGGGAATACTTCAAGAAGGGGAGGATTCGTTTATCGCCAATAAACAATGCAACTCCGGCTCTGTGGTTCTAGATTCGGTGCCTTGTCTGCCGTGGTGGCTTCCTCTGGGCCCCGCCTCGTCCCTTTGTCTCACCTTATAATAAGGGCTCCCCTACTTCACTGTCACCCGCCTCAGCCTCTCGTGTCTAGCTCAATATTCCTTTCTTGCCTTGCCCTTCTCTCCCTTCTTCCTTTCCTGGGATCGAGTGGACTACCCCTTTCCCAGCACAGGTTTCACCCCTTCGATCGGCATCCGAGGTTCGCCGTGGACAACGTCGGACGAGGTTTTTTTCTGCCATGAGTTTTGTAGACGCCTTGCAATTCAAGCAGACTCTATTATGCGGCTGCCGCGGACACTACGTGGTTTGTTGTGCTTCAGTCTGGTTGGATTGTAGGCCTCCGCAAAACTTCATGACCATCGCAACTACTGGCTCACGTCGAAGATATTATCTTAAGTCGTGGTCTTCGAAAAGCCTTTGCATAACAATCCCGCATGATCATTTATGTTTCATCGATTGCGTCGCATATTTCTCTGCTGAAGAAGTTCGGTAAGTCTAGATTGAATGACGTAAGAACGAATTTGGCGTGAGCGTGGAGTTGAAGCTGTTATGTGGTTACGATTGGCTCCGTCCATCCTGCACATGTTATGAAAAATTTGAGAAGCAAATCGAGGGAGGGCTTTCTCCATCCGCCGACAGGTTCTTGCGCGATGAAACTCACCCTCTCCTCCCTTGTCTTGTTGTCAACCGCATGCTTGAAACCTTCCAATATATGTATTCCCTCAAAGTTTCGTCGCGTCCGATGCTCTGTCATACTCCTGATCATTGCAGCACATGATTTATCGGAGAAAGCATCTGCTGTCTCGAAATATTGCACCAGGCTAATCGAACTCTGAAGTTAGGCGTGTAGGTACCTTAAATTAGCTGAATTTTGTAGACAGATCATGCCTCGACATCACCATGTGGTCTCTCAGGGTTGCTGCCGAATTAATACCTATACGTAATAAATCTAAGCATAATTTAAGCGACTACTGTTCCGGAGGTCATTGCTCACAAAATATTCTGTCAGAGGCATTAATTTCTTCTTCATTTTTGTAAAGGTTAAGGATTCTGCGTATATCGACAGAGTAGCTTTATTATCTATTGTTGTCTGAATGACCCTCAATGGAGTTTTTCTTCGGGTTATCGTTCCAACGTACCCACGCCAAGTTGAAGTGAGCAAAACGCAATTATTAATCAACTTTCGGTAATTGAGTGCCGTACTTGAGCAGAATCAATACAGCTCGTACAGGAGCATAATAATGTGCACGAGATAAACCTCGTCCAATACACTGAACGAACTAGTTGTGATGTAATTGTGTTACATCTCTATTCAAATCCACATTCGTTAAGTTTTTGCTAATCTCAGAACTTATCTTACTTCTGAAGTATGCAGATTCTGTTATCTCATACGCGCTGACAACCAGGCTGTTGGCATATCATGACATTCCATAGAAGGAATTGCACAGAAGTTGATTCACATGATGCTGTTGATTCCAACTCTTGAAGAGGACTAATGATAGGTAAGACGTTCAGTGTGGAGCACGTTGATCTGGTCCGACGCTCGTCGTTGCAATTTAACTACACCTGGAGGTGTACGGTCAGGTTCTTCAAGGAACTCACCATCCATAACCACCCTGGCTGTGTGTTGCTGGTAACAGCTGACCTAGCAACTTGGAAACAACAAACACGTTAGGTACTACTTGCGAACCCGTTGATGTCTTTTACCATTATTTAGTTGGTTTGAGCGAGATTTCATCATTCAGAACCAATCCTTAACAGTTAAGACAGTAACCTATATAGGGATTGAATCGACTCCACCTCGAGATGTAACGCTTCGGGGCTGCTTCACCCGCACATGTTACTTCACTTTCACTCGAACGCAGTTAGATTGTGATATACCAACCGTTAGAGGAAGGTTGTTTCATTCAGGCTAACCAGGTGGAGCTTCTCTATCTTTATGGAAGTCTCAGGAACTATTGAATGCTTAGCTAGCATATGCATGGCGCGTGTACATTGAACCATCTTCCAACGACTTTCCGATCTTCATTGCACCTTTTGGACGCCAAGATGCCTACTCAGTGCAACTTCATACTCTTGTCACCGAAGTTGCCGCCAGTTTCCTCCAGGCCATTAGCTTCTTCAGTTTCGCCGGCTTGAATGTTGCAACCACCAAATATGACTCTGGACGTGGTGGAGTTGTTTTATATTCAGGATAAAAATACAAGTTGGAAACGTCAGTTCAGATACATCTTTCTGCTGTTTCGAAGGCGAGATCGTAAAACTTCGGAATACAACTGGTTACACTTGAAGTCGTGCAGCTCAACCAACAGTAGGCATGTCTTTCTTGCCACGAATTGAGTTCTTGTTGATATTTTCTGATGAGTCCACAAAATAAGCTTGCCTTCATTCAATGTTGAACGCTGGGCAAACAATATGAGATAGTCCTCCGAATAGATAGCATAATAGATGTGAATTGCTCGTTGAATGCATCAATATCAGACGGACGAAAACGAAGACGAAGATAATATGCTGGAAACAAACTAACCGAATCTTTCACATGAAGTTTCTCATCGTGTTAAGGAACGGCTGAATTGCAATCCCCCTACAGAAATTCACTGTCAGATTACAGGCCAAACCCTTCTAGTACATCAAACTGCAGACAAGCAAAAAAGGAACAACGGAACAACAGCAAAACTGTATGAATTCCCTGAGATGTCGAAAAATGAGGAGCCTCTGGAGCTCATCTTTAACAAGAAGAAAAAAACTGACAGACACAACTCCACAACTCCCTCGATTGAAATACGGAATTTTCCGAACAATATGAATGATTACAAGGTGGCATGGCGGGGCTCCGACGAAGAAATTGACAAGTCTCAGCGAGTTCCGTTAACTGAAACGACTGCTCCTCTTGTGGCCCTTTGGATTCCACCAGAGTTTTTGGAGCACTCGTTTCCAAACTCTAAGACGTTCATTAAGTCTGCAATGGAACTGAAGAATGAGGTGAATTTCACGTCACTGGGACCAACTTCTGATTGCAAGCCAGTTCACAGACATCAAGGACAGTATTGTTTCTGAGGGCAAAGTCTCGAATACAGCATAAGGATGATATGATCGCTCTGCTCCCAGGTTGTGCAAGCAACATGGATTAGGAATGGTCCAAGAGTGAAAGATCCAACCATGTACACTGGGGTCCTCGGAACGGCCTTTCTATGCTTCAAAGCGTACCTCGCCACTGGAAGTCCACAAGATCTTGCGCTCTTCACCGAAATTGTGGATTCCTGTTGCGCGGCTGCTCCGACTCACCCAGAGTAAGTTCACCCACGAAACCATTCAGTGTTATCCACAACATAATGTTGCCTAGTTGTGTATTATTAAGGTACTTGAGTGTGTTCAGTTTTTTGTGTGCCTCTTGTTGTGTGCGTTGATGAGAGTGTTCTCACACATCTTAGTGGGGCATGTTTGAGAATGGACCAGCAACGTCACATTTTTGCGAGGGCAGGCTGGAATCTATGCCATGGGAGCGGTTGCTGCGAAAATCGGCGATGACAAGACTCGTCGTGATTTCTTCTTGGATCATTTCAAGCGGGTTAGTCAATGTCGTCGATTCGTAACTTTGACCGGCAAATCCCTCTTTCGATCATGGTCGTATGTATTTGGTCATTTTACCGCGAGTTGACGTACAGCAGGACTTGTTAATCAGACACTCTGAACACCGCACTGTACGATGCAATTTTAGGGCATGGTGGCAAAAGGTAAGTTAGTTGCATTTAAGAGAGCATTCACTATACTTCATTCAAGGTGGACCTCCAATTATTTGGTTATAGATTGGTGGCCGAAGAGTGTTATCCATGGGCCCTGTTGATGAAGGATCCAGCCTGCCATGTGAGCTCCTCAACGGACGTGTCGGATTTTTGTATGCTGCACTTTTCATTAACAAATACATCAGCGAGGAAATGGTTCTGTGGAGTATGACGGTGAGGAATTTTCTAATGTCCCTACGTTTCAATTTGAAGATTTTGTTGAGTCTTCACAATGCTTTCACAAGTGTTTAGAATTCACGAAAGCTTATCCCTCTGCCCTATCATGGCTCACACCAGGTAGGGGTTATTTTTAGAAATAAAAAAATAAAAAATACAACGAAGACAGAACGAATTAAGACTATCACCTATGCTGCAAACCAAACCGTGATCGCGTAACTGCAATCTAATCATTTTCAAACCTATCTTCTGTAATAAGTGTTTGTGTGTACGTTGCAGTACTACATAATCATGACCTTATGGTGAGTATTTGGCATCTGGCGGGGTTGGGATTGTGCAGGGACCTGTGGTTGACGCAGTACTGGCTTCGGGGCGTGCTCATGCCACACCCGAATGTCCTCTAATGTATCCATGGAAGTCGCGCAGATACTTTGGTGCATCTCATGGGCTGGCAGGTATTATCCAAATTCTCCTGCACTTTCCTTTGACGGAGCAAGATAATAAGGACATCAAAGGTACGCTACACTACATTGTGAAGAAGCGGTATTCCCGCGGTAATTACAGGGTCAGTGTAGAGGACGAAAGGGGCGACCGACTCGTACACTGGTGCCAAGGAGCACCTGGAATCACGATGACGCTCTGCAAAGCACTAGAGGTCACTTTCTCATCCTCACCACATCACTCACATTCCTCCTATTACTTCATCTAGAATTTTCACGAAGGAATTTCACTAAAAGAACTTGGCAAGACTCACACAGGTGTTTCCCGTGGACAATTGCTTGGGGGAGGCGGCAGAGGCAGCGGCGGATGTGGTGTGGGAGAGGGGACTGTTGAGAAGGCTGGGAATCTGCCACGGCGTCAGTGGCAACACCTACGTGTTTCTGGCGATGTACAGGAGCATCGGAGGGAAGAAGCACCTGTTCCGCGCTCGTCAGTTCGCAGGATGGCTGCACAAACACGCGAAGCGACTGCTGTCGACTGGGGAGATGCACGGCGGAGACCATCGCCACTCGCTGTTTGAAGGTCTTGCGGGCACCGCGTGCTCCTGGTTCGACTGCGCTAACCCCGCCCAATCCTTTTTCCCCGGTTTCGAAATTTAAATTATGGCGTCACATAAATCTGTTGTTGCACTTGAGCAAGATACATATATCACTTCCTTTTCATTTCCTTTTCCCATCTCACTGATAAATTTCGAGATTCTTTTGGCATTTTATTGCACTTCTGTCTTCCCCAACTAGAAGGAAAGTTGAGCAACACAACGTGCTCAAATACAGTCGAAGAGGCGTACAAAAAATGCATTTGAAAAAGTGTATACAGTGGCTCCAGGTATTTGATTTATCTTTTCATGACATATCTGAAGAAACTAACACACTTCACAAATTCTCAATGTCTTGTACATGAGACCATATGCTCTGATAGTCAACGTTTTATCAAAACAAATCTTCATGTAATAATACTACAGTTAAGAGGAGATAGTGAAACTGGAATATATTTTTAAAATATCATACATCTAAATGTTGTTTGTCCATCTTATTTTAAGTTCTACCAACTTCAATAAATAAAAATAAAAATAAAAAATAAATTAGTGCGATAAAATAATCAAATATATATATATATATATATATAAAGTTGCTAAAGCAACACCTTCATATTATTAAAGCCACATCCCATGTAGGTATATCCTTGCTCTCCCTTCTATTCTTGCTCTCCAAACTCCCTTCCATGCTCTCCAAACTCCCTTCCAAACTCCCTTCCATGTCACTTTTCTTTCTTGACACTCTCTACTTGTGTCTATTCTAGCTCTCCTCTATTACTCTTTATTTGTGTCCAATCTTGCTCTCCTCTATTATTCTTTACTTGTATCTAATCTGGCTCTCTCCTATTGCTCTCTACTTGTCCACATACACTAAATCTTCACTTCCAATGCTTTCTCTATCCAAATGCAAGTTGCTATGCTCACCAATCTCTTCCAAAGTATCTCAAAAAGAATTATGATGCAAGCAACCACAACACCTTTTGGGGTGAGGCTTTTAGCAATTCCTTCTCTCTCTATATATATTTATATATATATATATATATATATATATATATTCATTTATAATCCCCAAATGATCATAATTTTATAAATCTTAATGTGATGATCTTTAAATTTTAAAATTTGAATTATTTAATTAAAATTGAAAGGATATCCCGTACAATTATGTTATTCTTACAAGAAAAATTAAGCTAACTTTTTTGAATATAATACACGTAGAAATACAGGTTGATTAAATTCAAAAATTAGTTATATACTAAATTGAAAGATCATAAGACATCTCTCTAATTTATTGTCTATTAACCTTCAAATGACACAAGTAATATACTTTAGTAAAAAGGATTAGTGGCAAAATAGAAGACATATAATAATTCTTTTCAATAACTACAAAAAGCTTAATTTGCTTAATTTTTTAATCAAAAATTGATATATAATTTACTTAATATGAATATTAAAAACTTCTTTAAAACAAAATGATTAAAATTTAATAATCATAAATTTAATTGTCATCACACCAATCAAAATTTCAATGATTTATATTTGTTAGAAGAAATGCATATATATGAAAAAGAAAAATTATAGGAATGCATATATATATATATATATATATATATATAATAAAGATCAAACTTAAAGACCAATTATGTATTCAAAAAATAAATAAAAAATAAAAAAATAAAAAACTTAAAATATATATTTAAACAAAATTAATATATAATTGTATGGTGTTTTTAAATGTTCAATTCTAAAAAATCTGACTTATCTTCTTCATTTTTTTTAAATAGATTTTAAAAACAAAAAAATAGGTCTTTAAATAAATAGTTAAAGTACAATTTATAAGGCTTCTTAAATTATTATTTTGTTTTATGCATCTCCTTATGTAAAGAACCAAATGGACAAAAAAAACATAATACACACAATTAGTTTATTATTTTTATACTAAAGAATAAGAAATTCCAAACTTTCTTATTCAATATGCCAGAAAGTTACATTTAGTTTTGTATAGTATGGATGGTACAAACTAATTTTTAAAAGTTATAACCAAAATAAATGTAAAATGAAAAATTTAAGAAAAGCTTCAAAATTAGAATTAAATTTATTCTAATTCTAAATAATAAAAAATATTTTCTATAATTTTTAGTAAAATGTGCTAATACCACTAATTTTAATACATGTATATAATGTTGAATCAAAAAAAGATATTAGATAGAGATGGGATTTAGGATGCTAACATGGTGCTTGTGACTCTTTAATATTTTTTTTATTTTTTTATATAGCAACTTAGTAGGGCAATTTAGACAACATATAGATAACATGGAAAAAAATATACTAGAAAAAATATTAGTATGCTAAGCACTATATTAAAATAAATAAATAAATAACAAAAAAATAAAAAAATAAAAAAATAAAAAATAAAAATTATGAGATACAAAAACTCATGTTTTTTCTATATTCTAAAAGAAATATTGGCAAGAAAAAACTATTGAAATAAAGTAGTAAAGTTCATAATATCTATAAATTACACAATAAAGACATGTAAATTAAGGTTAAATCTTTTAAGAATATTTCCACACCTTCTTTTATTTATTGATGAAATTTATATAGTATAGAATTTGATGTGTGTCAAGAAAGATTCAATTTGTAAATTTTCTTTATATTTGATATTGTAAAAACTATTCTAGTGCTATAACACAATTATTAAGTGAAACGGTTAATTTAATCATAATTTTTTTAAAAACAAATTTGTTAATATATATACATACATATAAAAGATCTTTACTATAATATTAACAAAGATTTTTTTAAAAAAATCATGATTAATAGAATGAAGATAGTTGAAAATTTAATATTTTATGCTACTTTTATTGATAAAATAAGGTTTTCTACTTACTTTACATGGTTATAAATAAAAAGATATAAAGATATAAAGAAATAGATGTAAAATAAATGAAATCACCTTAAAGTTAAAAATAGGAGTATTTTGTTTAACAAAAATTATTTTAAACAAGATTAAATTAACTCTCAAGAAAGACCGTTTGACAGAAAGGGCCAAAATCAAACTTCAAGCCATAATAACATATATGTATGGTAAAGAGAGGATTCTTTGGGATTTGGCAAGGTTAATTAGGCTTTTTTAGGATATGTTTAGGGCTTGTTTAAGGTTTTTCAGAGTTTTCTTAAGATTTATTAAAAATGTTTAGATATGGTTGGAACTAAAATTCAAGATTAATAGAATTTGAGTTTTAGAGGTATTAAGTTTAGAATTGGTTAGGTTGAAGATTTCTAAGAATATCAAGATTGACAAGAGTAGTGTTTCTAAACAAATCATTTTTTTTTGGATTATAAAAAGAATTTTAGACTTCAAATAAGTTTCTTCTTTTTTCAAAGATTACAATGTATAATAAATATTATTATTATGTAAAAAATTAAAAATTAAAATTTAATAATATTAGATTAAATTATTTTGTGAGAAGATTTATAAGGATAAAAAGTATTAGTAGAGATTTAAATATTAAATAAATATATATATATATATATATATATATATATATATATTGTTAGAATGTAGAATTATTTATGGTATTGTTTACATGATTGTTTTTTTCTATTTTACAAAGCATGAAAATAACAGATTTAACAATATATTTTTAAATTCTACTAAAAATAAAAACATTGTTTAAATTAAAGTTAATTTGATATATATGTGTGTATATATGTATATAATATTTCCAATTATACTACTAAAATTTGGTGTAGATTGCATAAATTCTGTAATATTAATTATAAAGTTGAAAAGGGTAAAAGAACATAATGACTATATTATCAATTATTGTTGTAATCTCTAATATGGAATATATTATCTACTTCTTAATTTGTATTAACAATGTACACATTACATTTTCAATAATTTTTTTTTTATGTCAACATAGCCAATACTTAAATTTATTCAATTAAAAAAAGAATTTTGTATAATAAAAAGATTATATTTTTACAATAATTATCTTAAATTCAACATCAGTTTTGCTTAAACATCTTTAGAGCTCTTGTCTTTTATCAACAATAACACCGTTATGACCACAAAGTTTATATCTTTTATTTAAAAGTCAATGTAGTATAAATAAATAAATAAATAAATAAATAAATATACAAACTTTAACTATAAACCACTTTTGTAAATAAAAATTTCAACTCTAGATAATAAATTCTACAAGACATTTAGGATTGTATAATAACCACATGCACATTACAAATGGTTTTAGATCAATAAATTTAAAACTAAAAAATTAAAATATGTTGGTTCTAAATAACATTGTTGATTACAATTGACATCAATATAAGTTTCATATAACTACAAAATAAATAATAGAAGTCTTTGGCCAAAATATAATTATAGTATACATTCTGCAAGACAATATGTGTTCACATTATTGACAATACATTTCCCATTGCAAATAATATAATCTCTTTCTTGTAGCAACTTAATACTTGCAAATAGTTACAAAATTGCAACATGAATTTTGAACAACACCAAAATTACAAAATTATTATGTGACTCCAACAACATATGAAATTCTTTAAACAAATCTCTTATAAAGTTAATCCTATAAATATTTTACATTCCATAAATAATCACATCTACTATGTATTGCAACAACAACCACAACCTAGTTCACATTATAAGGACAAATCAATTTTTGGGGTCAAAGATATAATTTTTTGTTAACTACCTATTTATTTTCTTGATGTAATTTTTTTTTAGAATCACTATATAAAAATTAATTCTATGTAACATATCAATGAAAAAAAAATCTAAATTAATATTTTACTATTAATATTAAGATACCACAGACATGCTAGATCTACTTTATATTAGTTATTATTGTTAATCATTCTTTTTGTTGTTCTTTTAGTTTCATTGGTGCTACTAATTCATGCTGAAAGTTTAGAATTCTAATACTTAATTTTTTAATACTTCACCCTGATGGATTAGTTGCATGCATATACATATACACACACACATATATGCAGATATTCACACAATTGATTCAAAAGTTGATTCAATTGATCGTTCCAAAAAATATTTAACAACAACCAACTTACAAAGACAGGAAAATAAATAAATAAATAAATAATTGTTGAGGATTCCTTTTAGCAAAGTAGATACATTTACACAGCTTAGGGGTAATGAAGAATTTCCAACATGCTCTCTCTTGTGTGTGCTCATAGAGAACTTGGGCATGGCGATGGACGAACGGACGAACGGACGAATGGACGGACGGAGACGACGATGAAGAAGGCGACGAAGATTAAGACAACGGCGTCGAAAAGGGAGAGGAAGGAAGGCGGTGGTGGGAGACACGACTCTCGCTGGAAAAGGGCGTCGCTCTTTGTGTATCTCTGTCTCAATCTCAATCTCTCAATCTCTCGCTCTCATTCCCGTTCTCTCTATGGCTCAATCTCTCTCGTTGCTTGTCTTGTCTTATCTATACTTTTCTTTTCTTCCCTCCCTCCCTCTCATTCTTTCTCCAATCCTTATTACTCCACTTTGTTTGCTTTGGAGGTGTTCTTAGTCCTGAATTGCGATTTCACAGGTACTGATGTTCATGTTTGGGCTTCGTCAGTGCCGTTGCCGTTTTCGTTAGCGCAGTAACAGAGCTGAATTTAGAGCCGACTGAGTGGCTAGGGGAGAGTAGAGGAGAGGAGAGTAGAGGAGACGAGACGAGACTCTGCCGCCATGTCGAGCTCGCGGGATTGTGTGGAGTTTGAGGTGAATGGTGAAGCGGTGGTGGTGGAGCACCCGGATCCGAATTCGTCATTAGGGGAGTATTTGAGATACGGGAAGGGGCTCTCGGGGCTTCAGCTGCCGTGTAAGCAAGGAGGATGCGGATCTTGCACGGTGGTTCTAGAAGGTCCCGATTCCATGTGTGGAGGGGTTCCTGTCAGTTCGTGCTTGGTTCCTCTGTGCTCCGTGGATGGGAAGAAGGTGACCACCGTGGAAGGGGTGGGCAACGTGAAGGAGGGGTTGCATCCTGTTCAATCCGCCATTGTCGATCACCATGGAACGCAATGTGGATTTTGTACACCAGGATTTGTACGCTCCTCAATTCCCACTTCTCTTGCTTTCTTTTAGAGTGTGCTTTGAATTGGTGATCGTCTAAGGTTTAGCGTGGGTATATAGCGATTGTCTGGTCTCCTTATCGAGTTTCATAGTTGCAGGTCGGTTTTAGTAATATCGCGTAAATTAACCTGGGTTTCTCTAGAGTATCTTACGTGCACATTTAGAGGCAAATAAGTAGCTAAACATGAGAGTGGGAGATTCTAAAACTGAATTGGGGTTGCAGGTAATGAGCATGTATGGTTTACTCAAGAGCAATCCAGAGCCCACAGCTCAGCAAGTGGAGGACCAGCTTGATGGCAATCTTTGCAGGTTATTTAACCGTGTTTTAAATCCTTGTTACCTTGTTCTAAATTTTTTGTCAAACCTTTTGAATCCTAATTTGATCCCTTTTTGAGAGGCCATTAATTGAAGTGATTAATTGGTCAGCGCTGGTGTTCGTCCACTGGGGGTTTAACTCAAGCTGAAGACTTATTCCATGATACCAATACCTTAAAGTGATAGTTGGGATTCTGTGTGGAATAATTGCGATAGATGCAGGATTACATGCAGTATGGGAAAGCGCAAATCGTTGTGCTAAAAAAGCTTTCGTTCTTCGGGCGTCTTTTCTGGTTCAGATGCACAGGCTATCGTCCTATTTTCGACGGGTTTCAAACTTTTGCGAAGAGGACCACCGACAACATTCATTGTAGCAAAGCTGTCAATTGCACTGCAGCTGCATGTCAGGAAGATATTGAAGAACTAGGCAAGAGCACGTCTTGCATGAAGAAGCCAAGGACGTTGGTCTTCTCGAAGGAAGGTGTTACATGGGCGAGATTGACCTCTCTTCAGGAGTTATATGGCCTTCTTCATGGTGCGAAAAATAGAGGAGACAAAGTGCGGGTGGTGAGAGGAAATACTTCAACCGGCGTCTACAAGCCACCTTCTGCAGATTTTATTGCAGATATTTCTGAGATCCCTGATTTGAAAAAAGTGTCTGTTGATGAAAACGGCATTACTCTTGGAGGTGCTGTAACCATAACGGATTTTATGGACCTTCTAGATTTACACAAAGATCTCTCCCCAAGTTACGCGCCTCTTCATAAACATCTCAAACGAGTAAGTTAGATTATCTCCATTACCGTACCTTTTTAACGACTTGATTTTTCAATTTTGTTTTTCCTATTTGTTGCTATTATCCCCTTGAACTTTTCACTCATTGAGGTGTATTTTAATTTTAATTTTTTTCTTTAGCCTTCTTCAGATCCAAAGTCCATTTGGACTGCAATTGTTACTATAGTTTCATTACTATATGGGTATCATGACGTGGGTATTGGGCGAGAGTTCTCATGTACTGTTCAATATTAGCAAGAGTCGTATAGATGGTTTGATTTTTGTTTCCGTATCTTGCAGATGAGAGATGCAGTAGAGTAGATTGTTATTTATTGATACATAACACAAAACATCAAAAACCCTCTGTCTCTTTCACTTTTTACTTGTTTGGTTATTCTTGGGAATGGTTTTGTTTGGGTTGGTTGGCTGTTATTTTTTGAGCTGGCCATATTAATATAATTTGAAACTGATGTTGATGCTCTTCCTTGTTGTGCTCATCATCGAACTTCGTTTTGGAGCGAGTCCGAGATTCAGAAATGTTTAGCATGTCTGGTGTTCACTTTGGAGAATTGTAAACCACACCCAGCTTGTAATGAGTTATATATTTAGTACATTATTTGCCGCCTCAGATTGCACGTTTCAGATATCTTATTGAGGTGGAGAATGTTATTTTATAATGAAATAACTAAATTGTTGGATTGTTGAACTTATCAATGTTTCCTTGCAGGTGGCTCACGACCAAGTACGTAATGTAGGCAGTGTTGCTGGAAATCTGGTAATGGCGCATGGGCATGGAGATTTCGTATCAGATGTAGCTGCCATTCTAATGACAGCAAAGGCAAAGATCAAAGTGGGTTCTGCATATAACAATGGACAAGAGCGTATTCTAAGCTTAGAGGAGTTTTATAAGATATCCTTGGACGGCCTAGTGATTTTAGATATAGTGATTCCTGTTCTTGGTAAAAATGCTCGTGTATCAACATATAAAATTGCTCTACGAAGAGTAAATGCTCACGCTTTGATGAATGCTGGATTCAATATGGAAGTGGACACAGTGAAAGGTACGTATTGTGCGGACAGGACTAGGTTCATTTCTATGTGTTGTTGGTAAGAGTGTTTTTCGCTGAAGTAAGAAAAAATTTACAGTCAAGAGAATCAAGGTACTTCCAAGACGTACTTGATAGACTCATTTCAAGAACATCCTAGAATTTTGTTCAATGGAAATTTTTAAGGAGATGACATCACTAAAAATATTTGCGAGGAAGCTCTTTTGAAATTGCTATAATACTGTTAGTCTATGGTTGCGTGTGCACATGTAACAACAGATAAATAAGATTTGTGTGTGTGAAAATTTGTTTTTTTTTGGATTAGTGGTTGACATGTAATCAGTAAACCAGAACCGTCACTGTAAGAAAACATTATCGTTCATCTCGTTATGGTTTGTGACTATGATCGTCTGTAGGTTTAGGAATAGCAACTGTGAGAATTTTTGGTGTGACTTACAAGTTGCAAGTTTTCCAGGTATCATTGAAGGCAATCCAGTAATTGTTTATGGTGGAGTGCGCAAGAATCCGCAACGTGCAAGAAACACCGAGGATTTTCTGAAGGGCAAGTCTATTTATGATGAGAAGGTAATGTAGAGTACCCTAGCCTGTGGATTACACGTTGTTATGATAACACTGTTAAGTGGATTACACCGTTGTTAAGTGGATTACACTGAGAAGTGACTCGAGAGTGTTGAGTAGGTTTGCGGAATGGCGTTGGATATCCTAAGGGAGGAACTGATACTGGATCATGCTTTTGGACGAACCGAATACCGCTCTACTTTGTTGGGTGCATTTTTGTATAAGGCGCTTTTGTCTCTGTTACCTGAAGATGCAGTTCCAGCTTCTTTGCGTTCTTCAATCATGGAGGTATTTTTCAATAGCACTAGTTGTACTCGAAAAACATTGTTGCGAAGAGTCTTGTCATTGATACTTAGATTTTATTTGAAGGGACCTCTTAATTTTCACCTGACAGTTTCCTCGAAACATGGGAATGAGTACGCTTTTCAAAGATTTTCTACGTCCTTATCAGGTGTTTTTGAAGTACTGAGAAATCTCAGGGTGAGAAGAATTAAGTTGATTACGCTATGTTTGCCGCTCAATTTTAATACGGTTTTAGTTTTACCTTTAATATGTGCAATCTGAAAACTTGTATGTTACAGTATCGAGTGCTACTAAGTTTTGATGTTTCCTTTTGCAGTACGAGCGACCCATTTCTACTGGTGAGGTTAACTTTGATAAGGTACGGTCTTTGGTTCGCGCACGAGTTGCAGATGAAGTTTTTGAGGCTTCTGCTAGGAATCCTGTTGTTGATCCGAGGTTGTCTCTTGGAGGTTTTAGATCACTCTTTCAAACTCGCACGTTGACTACGTTTCAGCGGAATATGTTTCTCGGCTTAAGCATGTATATTGTGTGTGGCAGGGTGATCCAGCAGAGTACCCTGTGTCACTACCAATTCCAAAGTTATCGGCCTCCCTCCAGGTAATTGGGCTTGTGACGGGATAAATAACCTGAAGCTTTACCCTGCAGTTTAATCTGTTTAGGTTGTACCCTGCTGTATCACCCCTAACGTCTGTTGATAGTGTATCTTGTTTGCACGCATAATTTTGAAGTATGTGACCGGATCGAAATCACCGTTTCATGGTTTTATTCTTATTTTGACTATTATAAAATATAGAACGAAGAGTTCAACTTGACTTTGGAAAAGGCTTAGAGTAGCTCTGACCACATGTGGGGCCTTATCAGGTCACTGGAGAAGCGCAGTACATGGATGATATGGTCGTAGGTGGCGGATTGTTTGCAACGTACGTTACTTCGGATGTTGCCAATGCTGTTATAAAGTCAATTGATCCTTCCGAAGCTCTTTCAAAACGGGGTGTACTCACGTTCATTTCCGCTGCTACTGTGAAAGACGACGGATATTGTAACTTAGTGAGGTACTTACGACACTTGCTCAAGTGATATTATGTAGCACTGCAAATGAAGTGATTTGATTAGCCATGTCTTTGATGTTGCTGCGCTAGATTTTACACTGGTGGTTCCTATGATCTAAAATGGAGAACTTCTCTTCTCTATCTTCAATTTGATTTCGCATTTCTTGGGGCAGTGAGTACGAGGAACTTTTTTCCACTGAACGGGTGCTTTACTTTGGTCAACCTCTTGGTCTCATTGTAGCAGATTCAAAGGTGTGATCCTTACAATTTATATATTTATTATTTTCCTGCTTGGGAGTTTCACCATCCTGATTGTAGTGTAGCAAGAACTACAAGCATCTTCATTGTGTTCCAGCTTTATGGGATTCAAAAGTCCCTTTTTGTACGTTCGTTTCGATATTTATCTTCTTCTAATTAAAAGCTGATCACAAGCTCTGTTTTCGCACCATCAGAGGGTTGCAGATGAAGCAGCCAAGCTTGTGAAGGTCGATTACGCTGGTATCCAGAAGCCCATACTAACCATAGATGATGCGATTGCGAAGAACTCCTTTTATCTAGACCGTGGAGTTGACTGGCAGCATGGTAAGAATGATTGAACAGTGTGTCATATGCTGCTGTAAATTAGATTCTTGCTCTTAATGTGTTTTTCAAAGATACATATTGTCTAATCTTTTGGATGCAGGCCGTCATAGACCATGGAGTTGCCTTCTCTGATTTGTGATGCAAGCGCCGAAGAGTTTTGTTTCGACAGGATATGGTCTTGCATATCTGTTGGAACAAATGATTATCTCTTCTCAGTTTTAATGTCTTCTTAATTAACATGCTATAATGTTCAGGTTGGTAAGAATAACTGAATCATCAATTTTCATCTACTTTATATGTGCAGGTGATACGAAGCGAGGATTTCAGATGGCAGACACTGTTATTGAAGGACAAGTGAGTTGCTGGTCTTTCTTCGCAGTCTGCAATCGTCCTCCTTGTGTATGTTGGCAACCTTTTCATGGTATAAATTCGGGCTATGGCCGATTAGTTTAAATTTAAGACTTATTATGCCAATTTTTGAAGCAGGTGAACACTGGACACCAGTATCACCATCACCTTGAAACACAACGAACTCTATGCATTCCTGGAGAGGATAGCACCATGGATGTCTTTTCATCTACACAGGACCCAGCTCAGGTGTGGCTTACGAAGTATGCGTTTCTGGAGGACCTTTTTAGAAAAGCTACGTTCCTTGTGTGTTATTTGTGGTGTATGCATGTCATTACAGCACATGTTCCAACACTCATTTCTGATCTTACCTTGCTGCACTGAGGTTTGCAGGTCCAGCATTGTGTGGCGGTTGCCCTCAATCAACCCCAGCACAAAATCACTGTAAGTAATGATTTGCCTGAAGTACATTTATTGCAGTTTTCTGCATCACGAAATGTTTGAATAATCTTCCATGTTGCCGAAAATCGGAGTCAATATTGTTAGAATTGTTTTTTTATCTGATTCTTGCCATTGACTTGGCGGTGATTCAGCTACTGCAACAAGGTAATTGTGTGAGAGTGATCGTGCAGGTAAATGTCAAAAGAATTGGAGGTGCGTATGGAGCAAAGCTTAATCGCTCAGCAAGTCATGCCATGGCATGTTCTATTGCTGCTGCTAAGCTCAAGAGGCCCGTTCGCCTTGTTCTTGATATGGCTACTAATATGCAGGTCTGTACACTTGTTTTTTCCCAGGTTGGATATCATGTGTGCCGATTTTCTTTGATTTATAATTAAGTTGTATAGGTTGTATGGCTTACGATTTTTCTTTTTATTTTTATTTTTATTTTTATTTTATTTGTTTATTATTCTTCTTATCAGTTAGCATTGTAAACAATATTCTTATTATTATTGTTATCATTATCTCCTATTAATATCGTCATGAAAAAGTATGAAAATTTTATTGGGTTTTACAAATGTATGGATCAAATTTTAAGTGTCTTCAGCGACATGACCACAAATAGTATGTGATACACTATAACTTCTTGTTGAGGTTATGGATGTGGGATTTGAACCAGAGTGTTGGAGCACGGAGTCCCTATAGATGTGATTACAAGATTGGCGTTAACAAAAATGGGCGCATTGAGTCTTTGGATTTGAAGATAGTGAATAATCATGTTAGTCCGTTGACCCAGCTCCATCTATCCTGTTTTCTTATAAATTGTGATGCCAACCTCCGCATAAACCAAAGCATTTTTGACGAATACACTGATTTACTTTCAGTTTCAATCTAAAATACCTAACTTTGTTGTCCCTCCATAGCCTTCAGTGTCCGGGTTTGATGACATAAACCTCAAGGGCTGAAGTTCATGAATTCTTTTTCCCAGCGTTCAATCGTTTCAAATATGAAAGAAACCTTCTCACCTAAACGAATTGGCCTTATAGGTTTCTCTTTTCAATAAAGATGATACCAATTTTTATTTAATAGCATCCATTTTCATCTAAATAATCCTATTGTAGGGGCTTTGGGTGATAATCACCACCATTTTATAAGTGCTTGAGAAAATTTTCGTGACTCTAAAATCAATCAGACATGGGAGTGACATCCTCTTCATTTCTTTGTACCCACCATGATTCTGATAACGGAACTTATATTTTTTTTCCAGAGCCATGAATCACTTGAGCCTACCTGGATATGTCTTTTGTTCAAGATGCTTCATTTGTCTGAACCGAACGAATGTAAAGGGAAAAGCTTATCCAGTTGCTTTTTGTTACAGGGCTCTCATTTTGACTTTGAATACCCAGACATGTATATGATAGCATCTTTCATTGACAACACTTATAATATTCCGCACTGGAATATCAAGGGAAATGTTGCTCGCACCAATCTTCCTGGATGTACATACATGCGTGGCCCTGGTAAACCATCTCTCCACGTGTTTCCCATGTTTTGTGCTTGTTTTAGTTCACTGGATTACATTCCAAGTATTTCATGATATCTTGTTTGTACTTAAACTTGATATGTCATCTCTTTTTTGTTTTACGATTGAATCCTAATTTTTAAGATCATTATTTACTTAATTGGTTTATCTTACTATTTTTTTCTGATTCGTGACTAGAAAAGAACTCATTGATTTAGAGTGATTGTGGTTGGGTTATGGAGTGTTTGTTGAGACTGTTTTCATGATCGAGACGATGGTGGAGCATGTGGCATCTGCACTTCAAATCCCAGCGGATATTGTACGTGAGACTAATATGTATAAACCTGGGGACATCACACCTTGCGGGCAGAAGCTCGATTACTGCAACGCCAGAGAAGTATTCAGTACTCTCAAGGTGATTAATCGAAAGCGACTTCAGAAGATTACGTACTATACTTCCAAGTACAATACTTTGTTCAATTGTGGGCAATCTTGGTTGGGTGGTGGTTGTCAAGTTCGATTAGAATTGAGATCCAGTGCTGAGTTTTGCAGAAATCAAGCAACTACGAAAGCCGTCTAAAAAGCATAAAGAATTTCAACTCTGCCAATCATTTCATCAAAAGGGGTATTTCAATAGTACCCGTAAAATTTAATGCATCTTGGGAAGCTCAACAGCAAATTGCTCTTGTGAATGTTTATCCCGACGGTAGTGTTGGCATTCATACTTCAGGCTGTGAAATGGGGCAGGGGCTCGATGTCAAAGTTGCCCAGGTAGATACTCTTCTCATTTGTCTGTATTGTTGATGTTTATTCTTCTTTTTTTTGCAAACGATCTTTGAATTTTTCGAGAATGTTGAATGAATGAATCCTTTTACGTTGGAATGTATCAAAGTTTACAAGCATCTTTGCCGTGACAATACTTGCATCTCATTTCGATTTGACAATTTTTATTCTACTTTGCCTGTCAGGTTGCGGCCATGACTTTGGGAAGTTTGGTAAAAGATGGTTTGGATTTAACCAGCATACGGGTGAATAGTGTTACAACGATTGTGGCGAATAACTGTTCGGAATCCGGAGGCTCAGTTACCTCAGAACTTGCTGCAATGGCTGTGCAGGTTGTCACAGAGAACTGTTTTGACACTTTTTGGCTGGAAATTGTCTACGTGACTCAGAAACGTACCTCATGCAATACAGAAAAGATTTGGAAGGATTGCAATAATGTGGGATGTGCAGCAATGTCTGATATAATATTAGAACCTTATATAGCTCATTCACATCCAAAGATAAGCGATCTAATTTCTGTTGTCCATGAAGGATGAGAAGAACAATAGTTTTCATAGGGTTCCTGGCATGCTCTATGCGATGCCTCCCGCAGATTATTGACAGTTCTTGATTATTTTAATTTTTCAGCGAGATGTTTTGATACAGTTAGTTGAGGTGCATTGACTCTGGTGGCATGCTGTTCACTTTTTCAGCGGGCATGCGAGAGAATTGTCTCCCGGTTACAATCCACAAGCAAGATGCTTACAACTTCAAAAGGGAAACCAGGATGGGGGGATCTCATCCAATCAGGAGTAGATAATGGTGTTGATCTTCAAGCTCGTGGGCGTGTCAATCCTGCAGCTAGCAAATGCGGTCCATATCAGTAAGTTACATGTGCCTGAATAGGTCATATCTCTCTTTTGAAGTTCAGTTGTCTCAATAGTGTACTCTCTCTCTCTCTCTCTCTCTCTCTCTCTCTCTCTCTCTCTCGCTTTCTAACACACTTACACACACACACACACACACACCCAACTTTACAAAGAGATCAGATCACAACCTGAGCAATGGAACACCGAAGTTGATGTACGGATTGGATGTCTTTCCAGATATGTATCTTTTGGGGCGGGTGTTTCCGAAGTGGAAGTGGACGTTTTGACAGGTTTCAATGCTCTAAACATCTAGATTATTTCAAAACTATGTAGATTATTATTACTTGTAGTTAACTCTCATGATGTAACTGTATTTAATTACACTTCTTTGGCTTATGTAGAAGCAAGGGCACTGATTCTACTGCTTCGTTTTGAAAGCAAGAATTTCAACTTATCCTGTATCAACTTTGGTGTTACATCTTGCATCTTAATTTTATGCTTGTCAATCAAAGCCTTGATTTTATTTTATTTTATTTTATTTTATTTTTTGTGTCATACGTTGCGTCTTGAGGAATTAGACACTGAGTTTGAAAAACGTTTCTTCGAAGCTGCATGTTATATTGCTGTACGCCAAGTTGAACAAATTTTGACCACATACGTTACATCCTCCGCAGGGGACACTCGAGTTTTGAGGGTTGATATTCTATTAGATTGTGGAAAGAGCTTGAATCCTGCAGTTGACATTGGACAGGTGAGATTCCTTTATATTTGGTTTTCTAACACGCATCTAAAATCCTGGTACGGAGCTTGAAGGCTAAGAGAGTATATAAGCATGTGATATGGAAAGTTGTTCCTCATCAATAGATCATGGAATAGTGGATTTTACAATGTAAGACAGCTAACACGAAATTCTGTTGACAGATTCAAGGAGCTTTCATCCAAGGACTTGGGTATTACTTGTCTGAGGAATACCGATACAATACCGATAATGGCAAGGTGCGGTGTCTCTTGCTCCTTTTAATTAGTGCGGACTTATGTGTTGAAACATATGAAATTTGCATCTAATTTCATTCACTAGTAAAAGCTTTGGTGCTCATACCAAATCAGCTATCAACTAAACTTTCTAAAATTATGAGAACTGTAACGAATTAATGTGAGATTCCACAGCATCTGCAAGTTCTGAAGACGTAGAACACGGTTTATTTTCGAAATTTTACTTCATCGAGTTTCTTGGACAAATCTCCGTGCATTGCACACTTATTAATACTGAGATTAAGTAACCTGTATTTTAGAGCCAGAATTTGAAGGATGGATGGTCAAGTGTAATTGAATCGTATTTCTTGTTATTTCTTATGGTGCAGCTTGTTACGGATAGTACTTGGGAATACAAGATTCCATCTTCTAAGGACATCCCTCACGACTTCCGTGCTGCCTTGTTGCCCAACAGCAGTAATCCATCAGGCTTCCTGCGATCAAAGGCATGATTGGTTTCTCTTTCCTAAGGACCACCTGCCCTTTTTTCACATTTTTTGGTTGATTTGGATGTATGACGTGGAGTTTGTACATTCATTCTGCAGAGACTAACCCTTCTGTATCGGGTTTTAGTCATCGTTGAATCTGTTTATTGGTGTTACTGAACACACAAATGAGAGGAATATTCAATTTCATTTGCATTCAGAATTCCACCTATGAGATTAGATTGATTCCCTTGGATGTGTAGAACCAAAACTATACGTGTAAAACTCTTGCAACTAAAGATACCCTCGTGACCTAGTCCCGTTTTGTTGGCCGCAGTTTTCTGGAGAACCTCCTTACGGCCTTGCGTGCAGGTAACGAATATAATCTCTTGGCATTAGACTCGCATTTAAGCAGAACATACCTAGACCTGCCTAGTTATGCCTAGTGTCCAACCCATGGAATCAGATACCAAGATCTCGATATTTCTCTGCTCTCACTCAACCAATGATAACAACACATGCTGCTAAGCTTGCTGGAGGCTGATGATTTTCATAAATATACCGTATTGGCCCTTAAATTGAGTAGACAATTTACTGACAAGGATTTGGTGTTGCAGTGTCATTTTTGCAGTACGTCAAGCAGTGGCATCTGCGAAAGAGCAATGGGGTGATAACTCATGGTGCTCCTTAAGTGCCCCGGCTACTGTTGAGAAGGTGGCTCTTGCTGCTAGTGTGCCGATCTCTGCCCTTAAAATTCACAAGATCAGGTCCTAAAATAGATTTGTATCATAATGTTGATGGCATTATGAATCGGATCTTAAATCGAAGGGTGTTAATTATCTATCAGTTGATTACTTATACTTGTTTAATACTGGCAAAATATCTGCAAGGATAATACTCTGTGAAATAGTAGTTGGCGAACAATAATGTTGAACACTGTATAGTTGTGAACATATTGAACTGTAGCATTTAAGTCGAAATGCTTTTATGATTCACGTTATGGTTTGGTGAAAATGAGTAAAATAAACCATTTATCTACCAGGCAGTCCAGAATGGTGTGTTTTGCATTCAATCAACATTTGACACAACAGGCAGCGTCAAACAAGTAGAAACAGGCGAGAGCACAAATATATTCCACAGATCTTATGAAATCTCATCCAAGGAGGCAGAAGTTTGACCTCCTGCAGTGCTATTTCAACGCTCTTCGGCAACAGAGCAGTAACAAGATCATATCCGCATGCTTCTTACCAACTTCAGCTAATCAAATTTGATGTTCACAGTGGCAGTAATCCTCCAAAGGGGATTGGACCATTTCTTTTTCACATACATCTACTTATCAACTTCCAAATTGTCTGACACCTCGTAATGCACTTCGCACAGGATTCGGAAATAGCACGTGCTGCATAAAGGAGAGTGTAAACATTTGCCACTAGGCCTTGAACACCCTTGAATTCTTTGGCAAGTATTCCAATCACTTAACATAGATTCTATAAACTTAACCCTTCAATACTCGACACAGTACTTAAACTTGATGTAATAAAAGGATAATGTACAAGGTTGGATTTACTTTATTAAGATTAACAAGACACGAATTGGAACCAACCAGTTCAGCTACAGAATTCACTACTGTGAGTGTCAATGGTCATCTAGAATTTTCTCTTCTGATTGCAAACACAAGTCAAAAGTTTCCTCCTCAACCACCAACGTACAATCAAGGAATAAAGCTGCCGAACTATTACTCTGGCAAGATTCAACAATATCCACTCCAGCGCTAGGAGATGCTCCGAGAGTATTTGTCGGAAACCGCCACTAACACGCATTTTTTTTGAAAAAGATTCTGAACTGGACATTCAGTATCTCAGAGAAGACCCTGTTATCCTCGGTTGTCATTGTGACCTACTCTTCAATTGGCCTCCTAGCTCTCCTTGTACGAAGTGTTCCAGTAGAGAATAAAGTTGCTTCTGGTCCAAAGGCTATCACACAGCCACAGCACAGTTAGTTTTCCATCTTAAAAACCGTCTACAAATGCCAGAAGTTTCCCCTCGACACAAGGTGGGATACAAAATTTCTATACCAAGTTAGTACAAAAGATCCAATCAAGACAAGTAGACCTACAAATTATCGCAAGTGTACAAAAGGGAATAGAATACATAAAAAAATAGGCATACAAACCTGACCACAAACAATTGCAATGATGACTAAATTTAACAGGTAAGATGTATGTACATAAAAGTTCATATTGAATTAGGTTATCTATCAAAACAACTTAGAAAACTTTGCAAAATATTCACTCTAAAATACAAAAATTGCGAATCCAGATGTTACAAGCGTCTAACGAAATTGCTAACTGTAAGAAAGAAGAAGAAGAAGAAAAAAGAAAAAAGAAAGAAAGAAATAAATAAAAGATCGAAGAACCGATAGTGTTTATATTGATGGATAATATCAATGCAGAAGAAACATTAAATCTCACCTTGGAAATGTAGTCATCCATGCCAGCATCAAAACAAAGTTCGTGAGTTCCATTCATGACATCTGCTGTGACTGCTACGATGGGAAGATGGTGATGAAAGCACTTAAAAAGCTCTTCAGAAGCCTCACTGTCAGCGCACTGCTCACAGTTCTCAATTTCCAACTTTCGAATTTGTCGAGTGGCTTCATAACCATCCATCTGTTTTCACATTGAACAAATACAACAGTTCTCAGATGTTCACAACAAATTTTAGTGTTATTTTTATACAGAAAACAGAAATAATGTTTCTGCACCTCAACCGTCAACTAGGAATGTAATGGAATCAGCCTTTACCTCTGGCATCTGAATGTCCATCAAGACAAGATCATATGCCTCGTCAGGCTTCTGATTGCGTACTGCGTTGACTGCTTCCATTCCTCCATTAACTTTAACAACGGTGGCACCGTACCGGGCTAGCATTGAGGTAGCAACTCTTCGGTTGACCATATTGTCATCAACCTACATTGCGCCAAAACGATTCTACTTATGAAATTTAACATAAAAATTTGTAATAAAAAACCGGTCATACCTCAGTGCAGAACCATACTTACGAAAATCAACGCTTCAAACAATTATACTATCTGAAATCAATCAGGTAAAACTTCGAACCCACGAATACACAACGACTCTCCGCCAAAAGCAATGCATCATAACCAAACTCCACGTTGATACGATAATAGAATCAAAAGAAGTTATAGGTCGCAAAATGTACCACTAGAAGGCGTTTCCCGGTTAATAGTTTAGGATTTGGAGCCACTTTCTTAGTAGACATTTGAAATCGAACTCCTAAAGCTTGCAACAATATCGTGGCAACTGTAGCATGGCGTAAAGGCTTGAAGATAGTAGACGAATATCCAGCTGTTTTCAGCTCATCAGGTAGTGGTGTGCAGGTGAGCGCTATTATCGGTAGAGTCTCATAACCAGGTTCTGTCCTCACACGTTGGCCTATTTCCATGGTTAATTCTCTATCTACTCCTTGCAAAACTACAATGATTGCTTGTGCTGAGGATGAATTCTCTTTCCTTCACAAGAAACCCACAACAGATGAGTGCCCTGCGTTTTACTTTCAATCAGAACACGTCAAATTTCATGTTCAAATAATACCTAAGCTGTCATCAGATAAAAGAGGAATAATTCTTCCAGCTAGAAGGGTCCGCCAAAGGATTTTGTAGTTCCAAACCTTAAAATGTCACAAGTGTTTGTATATATATATATATATATATATATATATATATGTATATACATATATGAACTTAAGCAGTACACCACTTCCAACAACTATAATCAATAATTTACAAGATAGGAAAAGAATTAAGACGATCTTTTTATTAGAAAAGACACAAATAAACAAAAAGAAAATACAAATTTCATACGTATAGAACCAGTGAAGTTAGTGGAGAGTTGAGCCACAATGAATACCTCCTGACCAACTCTAGAGTCCCATCTAAGTCTTCCGTCTCTTCAACCACCACACCTAGTCTCCTTAAGTAGCTCGCATATGCTTCCTAAACGTCAGGTTCCAGCACCCCACATAACAAAGTTAACTTCCAAGCGAGATATACAACCCCACAGCCTGGTATATGTCTCTAAAGTGAACCTTTCCATTCGTGATCACTTTAATATTTACTGTTTCACTAAATTTTTAGGTTATTAAATCCCTTCATTTATGTATTGGATAGAAGAGGTGGACATTGTGGAATACCTGCCGTACAGGATGGGTATCAACCAAAATAACCCTAAATCCCCTCAATTTTTCAGATTCCAAGGGAGGTCGCTGGTCAGGAGTTGTACAACATCCCGACGAGTTTGAACACTTTGGCTGTGGAGCCCGCCCTAGAGTAACCGTTAACTCAAAAACACTACCTTCTCCAGGGTTGCTGCTCACCGTCAGATCTCCTTTCATCAACATTGCCAGTTTCTGCAACGCATCTCCACATCCATTAAGAATCGCCAATGAAGAATGAAGAAATGAACCATTCTCAGCAATTTATCTTGTGCAATGAGAATAGACTACATCAGTAGCACAATAATATCTATGCAAATAATTCGTATCTTCGTGTTTACCAAGGATTACTTTAACAAATTCTTTAAATAATATTTTTTGCATAAATATTTTGAGGTAATTTAATTGGCAAAAATTTGACATCAATCAGTAACCTTGAAAAACTGGAGTGGTTTTAGTTTACAGGTAAAACCAGTATACATGTGAACTAATGTATCCACTACTCAAACAGAAATGTTAAACCGATGGTGTTCCAGAAACTTCGAGGCACCAATTATTTCGTCTCCTTATATGCAAACCATCTTCTATTAGTGTACCTTACATATCGATAAACCAACACCAGTGCCTCCATATTCCCTCGAGCTGCTACTGTCAGCTTGAAGAAAAGGTTGGAATAGGCGATTGTGTAAATGAAGTGGAACATCGATACCTACACCACCAGGAAGAATAAGAGCCTACTGGCCGAGGATATACAATAACAAGAACCAAGACAGATCCAAGCAGAGGATCAAAATCCGACAGGAAAAAACACGTGAATACAAAAGAATGAAGGGGCACCTGTGTCTTCGACAGAGATAACAAGAGTGACCGGGTTTGACTCGGTGGTCTCAACCGATCTCTTGGGCTCCCATCTCCTCCATGCTGCAACAGCTTCCCGTGAACTCAATGGGCCTGGTACCATGCTCAGCCTGGGTGCCACCAGATGCATCTCAGATAGCCTCGTGGATCCTCCTCTACATATTGTGTCCCGATCACTTCCTACCATACCGGTCGTGTCACTTCCACTGGGAGACTTGGGCACCACTTGTGTATTGTTTACACTCCCTAGAAAAAAAAGCTTTGACCGAGAAAGGTCATAGATCACTTCCGGAGGTGGGTGCAGGCGATCAGAATGGCATGAGTCGAGCATCCGAACGCATATGAAGATACTTCCCTGCTTTGTGAACTGCAAAGGTAGACCAAATTCAAATGTATGAACTGTGATATTCCCCCCTCTAATGCAAAAAGTTACCTGAAACTACTAAGGTAATTGGTGTAACAAGCAAGAACGAATAGTAGGTAAAGCACGGCCTTCAACAAATAACTCGAAAAATAAAAAAATAGACTGTACATGTTCATAAATTACAACAAGCTCGAAAAAGGAAGACCAAATACAGACGTTAAAGCTCACCTTCATGGAATTGCTGACAAGGTTGAAAAGGATCTGCACACGATAACCAGACAAAGCTAAGTAAAAACAGATTCCCAAAAATAGGCACAAGAAACCTGGGCCTTCACAAGAAACAGAACCACTTCGTAGAATTAAAAACTTTTGAACAATCATGTACTTCCATTCCTAGAATATCAAATTCTTAGGCACTTCCATCCACCGCATTTCAATATAAAAATTCATCTCATGAGAAAATCACCCTGGAAAACATTAAAGTAACATGTGTGTGTGTATTAACATATATGCAAATGCATTTACTATTATGTCGTAGAATCCAAAGTTTTAGAAAGTAAACCAAACCTGACGAATGCGGGTCGGGTCTCCCATTAAGCAAGATGGCACTGCATCGTGAATCAAAGCTACCATCTCAAGATGATTGTTGGAATCTTTCTCGTCAAGAAATGAGAAGATTTCATCGAATTCATTCCGAATGTCCAACTTAACTGACTCAACTTCCATCTTTCCCGCTTCAATCTTGGATAAATCCAGAACGTCATTGATAAGTGCTCTGCACATGAAATCCACATGAAATGGTTAATTTCATGATTTCAAGAAATCATACTCTGGCCTACAAAAACTCTTTCAAGGGAAATAGTTTGGAATCGAATAAAGTGATTAAAAGGCGTAAAATAACTTACAGTAGAGCCTTTCCACTAGCTTGTGCAATTTTCACGTACTCACGTTGCTGTGCATTGAGCTCTGTCCCCATCAGCAGGTTTGTCATTCCTGGACCCCAAACCCATGTAAACACTAAGGCAATTGCTTACAAGTAGTTGCCGCAATACGTCTTTCAAGAAATTAAGTCCATCAATAGTCCAATGACAAGCATGCCTATACAATTGTTTCGAGTACATATCCCCCAAATACAAAACCAGATAATCTTACAAATAACTACTGTGTAAATTACCGAGGAACACAATAGTTCTTGAAACACATCTAACTATATCATGCCCTTGCTAAATGTCACAGAAGCGTAGCTTACCGATAACTCCATTCATAGGGGTCCTGCATAAAAAGAGCAACAAACAAGAGAAAAATATCATCAATACAATTTGTTCACTATCAAACCCATTAGATAATAAGTAGGAAGAAAATGTACCGCTTCGTCGTTCACGTTACATATTATGACAACTTGAAAAGTAAGCAACCAACTAATACAGTAGTCACCAATCTTCAGAGAGGGAGAAAAGAGTGGTATGCCCAAACAGCGCCAACCCCAACATAAACCTATCAAATAAAAGACAATGTTCTCCTACTGTATAACCCTTTCAAGCTTTGGAACTTAAGGAAAGGGTGCAAGCAATTCTTACCTTATCTCGTGAGAAACTGTAGCTAGAAAACTTGACTTGGCCTTCTCAGCAGCTTCAGCCGCCATGGTTGCAGCCGTGAGTTTGGCATTCACTTTCTCCATAAGAGACACGTCTTTCTCAATCACCAGCATCCGCTTCAACACAAGATACACGATAATTGCACAGAAGAGGACCACCATGGCCAGCAGAAGAGGCCATGCTACGACACTCCGAAAAGCTAAGAGCTTCATGTTGCTCCTGGGCAAACATCGGAGTTCAAAGTTCTGTGACCCGACCTCCCATGCGACGAATACATCACTATGCTCCTTTGACCGATTTGCTGGATCAAATAATGGAAGGACACAAGGTTTGAGAGTTGTACTACAGTTGTAAGATACGTGGGGTGTTGTATTAGGGTCCACGTTGTACACAGCCACAACATCCATGTCCTCATTGGCGATGAACCTAACAATCCCTTTCCAATTATGAGATCACAATACGTTCAAATTCTTGATCCACAATTATCTACATAGATCTCCTAGCAGAATTAGGTCTGAACCTGAGTATCTACCTGGAAAGGACGGCACCAAACACTTCGACGATATCGAGTACTGTTGCCACATAGCCCACGCATGCACTTTTCCTTGCAGCAGCACTGAGAAAACTTCTTGAGTCTTTGCCAGGGCCATAGTAGGCTAAATAAGCTCCCATTTGAAATGTGCTTTGCCTTGGGCTCGGTGGCGACAGGGTAAACAGACCTGTATCACCTGAATACCATACCATTTCCAGATTGGCCCGAAGGTATTCCAACTACAAACATGTACGATTATTCTAACCAAGATAAGAGGATCCCAAGCATCAGAAACAGATCATGGACCACAAAAGTGTCACTTACGCGCTTTAACAAGTGCTTCGTCTAGAATAGGAGAGGACCCAGCGTCATACATATAAAGGTCCACATCTTCAGTCTGAAAGACAACGGGCGCATATTCGTCTGCTGGTCCCCGTTTCCAACGTGTCCCATTTGGAAGAATTGTCACGATTGTCGCATTGTACTTGCGCTCAAACTCCGAACGCTGGCTGGCCAGCACACGCTCACAATACACCAGCGTTCTTACGTTAGGTCGTAGAAACAATGTTCGCCGTGTAAAATTCTTCCAGATAGAATCGTTAACATAAGGAACACCGGCAATCAGTCCCAGTGCCACAAATGATGCATTCAGGTTATTCTCCACTTCGGACCTGAGGATCTGCATGAACAACAAGTGGTTGGGAAAAGGAAGGGAGGGAGGGGGGGAAAAGGAAACTGTACGTCACATGTAAGGCTTCCGATTAACCACATTGTTGAATCTAGATTCACACAAGCCCTAACATTCTGGCCCAGCCCTAATTATGACTTCAGATAGAATATGAGGCAAGGTGGCTGACGAGGGATTCAGGTATTAGATTGGTAGTGGTCGAGAGAAATGAGATGGGGCAATCACCTCCTTGTGATTGTCGCACTTGAGGCTGAATTCCCTGTTCCTAGACTTCAAAGAGCTGTTATAGAGTACCACCCCAATTATGGAAGCCAATACCCAACCCACGAAAATGAACACCACCAGTCCTGCAACATGTCGCACAGGGTTTCTTTTGCGAGAAAAGAAACGCATGATCAATCCCGCTCCCTTTTTGTAGCACAAGCGCACACTACATTTCATCGTTGTCATCGCAAGACAACTGATAGTGTCTCAATACCCGCTCAATGTGGTATCCATGAGTAAGAGCCAAAACCCTTGCAACTCGATTGCAGGCTGCATGGTTCCATACATCCCATTTACAACAATTATTTGCTGCAAACATCAGGACTTCTTAGTAAAAGATTCACCTCGTCCAGCTGCACTCTCGGATCACTGGTTAAGTTGCGAATCCGAAATATCACAGACTTGTCTTCACCGTCATAAAAGCATGTCTTCGGTTCTCTAGCAGGCGGCTGTGATTCTGTGTCCACAAGCATGTGCTTATCATCAAGCTTTACTCATTTCAGCCAAAACAAGCTTTGACTGACCTTAACTCATTACAACTCCCGTTGATTAGCACTAAGACAAATCCATAATCAGCCCCCTTACTCCAGAAATTGTTCAACGCAAACTTGACTTTCCCTGCAACCACTCCAGTGACGAAAAAAAATCCTCAAGAGATACGCAAAGGAGTAAGCGCCTCGATGGTTTGAGTTCACAGGATCGGAACATAAATTCTACAAGTAGAAGTCATTACGTGTTATGAGGAATCTATTCCATGAAGTTGATAGGAGGAGGCAGTCTTGCATTGTTCCCAATCAAGCACAGTGAGCATACAAACTCCTGAAATAAAACAACCGAAGCATCCGCTGCGGCAAACATACATGAATTGCGAGGAGCATATGAGGAGGTGCATCTGGTAGTCATCTGAACCAACGCTGAAACAACTGTCGAAACAAGTGGCGAAAATGGCGCAGAAAGCAAGTACCTAGTATAAACCACAGATGCCCTGCACATGAGTCCAAACTCAATGTGCAGCAACTCCATCTAAGCAAGACAAGGCACCTCAGGCCCACGCATTGCTAAAACCACAACCAATCCCATGCACAACCTGAAGGCATCCACCCACGTTCCGATACGTCTTTACCAAGCTAGACTGTAATAACTAATCCAGGAGAGACGAACGGCCCGCGCAAATGGAATGAACTTAACAGAAAGAGGATTCCGCAGAGAGGAGCAGAAGCTGATCGCAAGCACGAATCGTCGAGCAAGCGAGCGAGTGAAACGCGGTGCGGACAGTCCTCGGAAGTGAAGGAAGAGAGTCAGCGCGACACAGTCGTGGGATCAAGAATCGGAGAAGTGGTGGCGCCAATCATCACTTCTACACTACCTCGCACGGCCAGGCACGGTGACTGTGAGCTATAGGCATCCAGCGGCATTCCGGTGTCCATGCGGGAATTCTGCGTCTATTAGTTAAATTCAGCGAGGCAGGGACGGAGCGAGGAGGAGACGCCGTGGAGCCGCACTCCTCGTAAGGAGCTTCCGACGGAATGTGCAGAAACGCGGGAGGGGCCGCAATGGCCCATTGCGAACTGTGGGCCAATGAAGGAGGATTCTTTCCTTCGCAACAGAATTGATACCTTTCTCGATCCTTTTATGCTCCTTCTAGAAGCTCTCCTCGTTGACGGGGCTCATTTCTGAGTTACACGTGCTCCATGGAGTGTGGTCACACATCCCTCTTATGACTTCGACTTCCCCGCCAATGCTGCTCTCTTCCAATTTAAATATTGAATTGTTTCTTTCAAATATTGACGCATTTGCTGCACAAATATCACTTCCCTGCCTGCCTTCTACTACAGTTGTGCCCTGTTCTACATTTTTCTTTTGTTTAGATTTATTTTTTTTCTAGTAGGCTACTGGTTAAGGTCACCGACTAGAGTCATATTTTCCAAGGAATTACGATGGTTTGTAGGTTTTAAACATGCATTCATATTCTCGACGTGTTGTATTGCTTGATGACAGTGTGGAAAAAATTATTCAATAAATAAATAGATAAACTGAACTATATCCATGATTGAAAAACATGTTATTTATGAGAGCATTGATTACTTAATTCGAAAAACTCATACTTGTATTTCAATCAAAACTGCACTGATTTAAACAAATTTCCTTGCATTATTGGTGCGTGGTGACAGAATTTCTGCAACACCAACTAAACACTCGCAAAGCATAGTAATTGTTTTTTAAAATACCGCAAAAAGGAATTAATACATACTCTCACAGTTATGCAATACAACTATTACTTATCTTGTCACACTTCAAGAGAGTCTAAACTTACGGGAGCTAAAATATATATACATATAGATATCAAAGGAAATATATTTTAAGAGTGAAAGAAAAAAAAAAAAAAAAAAATGTTTATCTTTTTCAGGTGCATTAAACGGTGGAGCCATGGGGAAAGAAGTGGGCATTGGTGACCGTGGCCAATGCTAGTTCTCTAGTAATAGGGCAAAGGAGGTGGCAGATGAACCCCAAGTGGAGCAGGAGAATCGTTGATCCAAAATTCGATGCACTTATTCTATTGATGTCTATATTCAGGAAGTTGGAGTTGGAACCGGGTATTGGGAAGCCTTTCAACCTCCGAACCTTGTAGCTTGTTTGCTTGAGTCTGTTGCTGCTGTTGTCCGAGGATGTTAGTTTTTGCTCAGTGAGGCTAGTCGGATCCACTGCTGGTGCGATGCTCAGGCTCTCATTGCAGATACCAGGCAGTTCTCAACTGGCTGCCAAAAGACTTCTGGAGGAGATCGACGCGTAGGCTCTGTTTTATCGCAAAGAAACGTTTCATTGTAGGTGTTTCGTTTGCAGGCGCTGAAACCTGGAAGCCCGCGTCAAGTTGGCTGTCCTTTAAACTGCACGCTTTCATTTCTTAATCGTGATTGAGTATTGATTGAGGTGATGTAAAGAGTGGATCATGAATATTCAATTTCCAAATTTACAAGAGGACCTAGCAGTCGATTGGGAGCTCGGGGTTGCTCTGATTGTCGTTGTGTAAGTCTTGGAAATCTCGTCCTTTCGTTTCCGCTGAGGAGCAAGCAATTAGCATCGCGGAAGGTTCGGTGGCTCGCATCGGTTGTCACAAGTAGTACGTTTCGGTGACATTTAGGCTGCAGAAGGAAGTTGCGTCTGCGTGCGAGTTTTATATCGATGTTAAGGGATTTTCTAGATTCTTCAACTAAGGCCAGTGGTTCTCAGAGGGTAGTGTAGCTGAAGGTCGAGTGAGGAATTTGTGACTCTTCGTCGGCTGGAAAATTTGGCTGCCTTGAACAATAGAATTTATGGTAGGTGAGCGCCCGTAAACTAACAGGAGTCCACACCAAGGAGGGATTCTGTCACTGATAATAGTTATTGTAGGAGACATAAATTCCGTATCCGTTGAGGAAATTCTGCCACTTAAGAGTCATTGTTGAAGCATTTTAACAAGGTTTAGAAGAAATTGCTCATGTTCTTGTGAGAATCGAAATGCTAAACCTGTCACAATTTGCTGGTAATCTGTGAATATATTTTTAGGGCGGAATTTTGTGGAAAGATTGCCAGCTTCTCGTGGAATTTGAAGAACAAGGCGAAAATGCTGCTCTGATTTGGAATCTGTAGCATGCGCACGTTCGGTAAGCTTCAAGCGCTTTCCCATGTTTCACAAACTATTTCACATTTGTGGCATGATTGTTGCAAGTGTTCTGGATTGATTAATTTGAACCGTTTTCGTAACACATTTTCCATTAGTCTTGGAAATAAATGCCTAAAACATTTGTGACAGTATTTGTGCCATACTAGCGGTTTGTTGTTATTATTATTATTATAATTATTTTAATAAATAATATTAACAGATAAAAGTAAAATTAGAAATTCATAGATCTTAGTCTTAATAGCAACCTCAAGAACATTGAATGTTTAAACCATGTAAACCTATTTTACAACAGAGCATACAAACTCAACATGTATTTTTGGAAAAATATTATTTATAAATAAAAAAATTTAAGAACGTTTAATTTTTTTCCTTATCGCAAGACTATGCTTTTAAAGAACCAATGCCTATCAAATTACAAATTAAACCAAAATAATATTTTTACTTAATTTTTTTTTAAAACCCTATGGCTCAAGTCTTATTTATTGCTTAAGTTAATATATATATATATATATATATATATATATATACATACATATATATATAACACATTATTTTAATTTCTAATAATTTTGACAAGCAAACCAAAAAAACAACAGTTCAAAGTACAAGCAATATTGACCTTATTATACATTATTAAATAAATGTAAAATAAAACCACAATGTATAACAAATGTCTATGTTACCTTAAAAAAATAAAAATAGATAAATTGAAATAAAAGTAGGTAGTAACATGTTGGTTCTTTTCCTTAGTGTCTATTCCATCATAGCTTATATTTCTTTTGAAGTAATGTTAGTTTTGTAGTTCAGACAATATAACTGCTTGTATAATATATGACTATCTCTTGTAGTCTTGCATAGATACATCAATATTCTATGTTAAGATTATGATGTAAGGATATTTTCATTAATTTGCAAAACTCTTTTAAATATCAAACTTAAGTTAGGAATTAGTAATAAGTTGGAGGAATGACCAACATACATAGATTCTACTATATATATGTATGTACATATATATACTGTATCAATACTGTATCATATTACATAATACAGTATTATATATATATAATATTATTAGGTTATTTTTTTAATCTATATTACAATTAGAAGATAAATATATTTTTTTAAAATAATCTTTAATTATATATTTAGTACCCAAAAAAATATATACATCAAGTTGATAGATTACTGTAAATCAATGACATATTCAAATTTGATTTATACATTGATAACATGATTGATTAGCTGGATTTTAAAGCATCATCTATCTTAAGAATTTGTGATTAGATAAAATCTATAGTTACTAATTTTTTTATCATATTTTTCAAGTCATAATATTTTTCTAATGCTAAAAACTACTTCTAAAGTAATATTTTAATAATATTAAAAAAAACCCTTGAAGCATTAATTTATAACAAGATCTTAATTGCTCAAATTTATTTATTAGTATTTAGAGTTCATATAGTTTTAGTTTAAAATTATAATTCTAAACTTAAAAAGTGTATACTTCAATTGTAGTTATACATAAATATGTGTGTATATATTTTATAGTCTTTGTAGTATTTATTTTTAAATTAAAATATGTTTTGAAAAAAATTATTATTTTTATATTGTAAGTTGAAGGCGATTTTTATTGCTTATTCTTTGCATCTTTTCAAGAGGCTCTATGGTTATGTCAACTTCTTGAGTTATTTTTTTAATTAGCATATCTTTTAATTTTTAATTTTTTTGATTTCTTTAAAGCTCTTCATTTATATTAATATATATACATATATATATATATATATATATATATATATATATACATACAATTTTATGATAAAAAAATCTAATTGAAAAAATCCTTGGATATCTAAGTAGTAAATTTAATAGAGGTTTTTATAACAAGAAACCAACTTTAAAAGGCAATGGTTCTTTAAGCTTTATTAAGCTCTTTCACTTTGTAAAAAAAAACTCTTTTGCAAATCTTAGCCATTGGATGCAATATAAAATAAAATGAGGCTATAATTTGATCCATCATTTTTTTTATTATAAGTCTAAATATATCAATATATATTTCCATTCTAATAATTATCAAAAATATAATAAAATACGACTTTTTAATTTTTAATGGTTAATTTTAGTACTTTCTAGTATAAAATCTTAATTTTTTTTATAAACCACCTCTTAAAATGGGCCCAATAGAAATTACTAGAAACAACACTATTTACTACATATGGGAAAAAAATGAATTCTACCTTTATTTTTTATTTTGTAAATATTAGTATAGTATTTCTAATTATAAAGCCAAGTAACTGTACTTTGCAAGATAAGCTACTATACTCAATTTATAGATAAAAACTATTCTAGCAAAATTTCATCTATGGATTAAAATTTGGAGCACAAGATTCTATACATGGTCAAATATTTGAGTAATAAGTAAGCAATGACTATGTCTAAAATCCTCCTAATATATATATATATATATATATATATATATATTTTTAGAAATTATCAATATGTATTTGAAGCAAGCAAATAGATTTGTAAGGTTAAGAATTCAAATCCTTTGGCATTAGTGTCATGGACATTAATATTGCCCTTAATAATTAGAAAGATGAGATGAGTTTGATAGAAGTACATAAAGAAGATTAATTATAAAGAGCTTCTTAGAAGCTTCATTGATCTAGATTTGACTTTATAGGTGTTTGTAAGTAATTGCTAAAAATTTGGCCAACAAGTTGGTCACATGTTACACATGTTTTACATGTTGGGAACTTGGCTTGCAAATTAGACATATCTCTCACAAGTTCAATATATATTGGATGACTTATTAAATGTTGCTATGTAGTTCCTTTGTTAGATATTATATTTAGAGACAAGAATAAGGCCTTTTTTACTCTTATGAGTATCTTTTTAATTTTCAATCTAATTTTAAAAGTTTCTAATCTTTTTAACTTTAGAAATAGCTATTTTAGTTTCTTATTAAAAATACTTACTTTCTTACTTTGTTTTGTTGTCTTTTACAAAGTTTCTAATTTATTTTATTTGTCTTTCTTCAAGTTCTTGTCATTGATAGTTACTGATGTTATAAGTAAAAATTTAGTGATGAGGTTAGTACTTTTTTTTTTTTTTTTTTTTTTTTTTTTGCACTTCCTTTTTTAGATTAGTAGACTTTATCCATGGTTCTTTTATCTCTCCTATCTTTGAGCCCATAAATTATACTCATATTTCTTTTGCTATAGGATTGCAAACAAATTTAAGATTCCAAGATCTATTCCTTTACTTGAAGCCTTTAAACTAAAACATATTTTTTCAAAACTCATTTCTCCAAGTGTCTAATCTAGAGGTAGACTTACTCCAACCAATTGAATAAGACTTCTCAACTCAATTAATCAAAAAATCAGAAAAATTTGTGTATCATGTTGTCTCCTAAATATAAAGACCTCATATGAATCACAATGTGAAGATGTGTGAGAGCTTTATTTTCTTTTCAAGTTTAAGACATAGCAATATATAATCTTGATATGCACCCAAAACTATAATTTCTTTACAATTTTTTTAGAGGACTATGATTATAAAATCGTATTTATACATACATACATACATACAAATACAAGGACGACTGTTGGATTTTGTGTAACAGTAGAAATAGAATTATCAAATTAGAGTTCAAAGAAAAAATCGCTTTATTTGAAATATATTTCTAAAAACATTCCAAGTCAATTCTAACATGGTTAAACTTTTTAAGACCATAACAACCGTTTCAAAAATTCAAGGTGAATTTAAAAAGTGATGTTGCTTGTACCAAATAAGTCTCAGAAAAAGGCATTAACAAAACCAGAAAACATCAATTGAATCGGCAAATGTTGTTCGTCCTAAAAATGCACAGAACCTAAAATAAACACGCAACATTAGGTCGAAAACTGAGATGAAAGAGGACTGAAAACACGAAGAATCTCGGTGCAATTTGATGGTTACAAACCCAGAGAAGCTAATCATCACACAATGAAAACCTGCTGCGAGGGAGAGAAAAAGAAAAATTCTGTGAATAAGGAAAATGAGTTTTCATCAATATGGAAAAAAGAAAAAGACTAATTGGCATGAACATGGTTCCTGATCGATCAAAAACCTGGACTGCGATTCTAATCCTGCTGCTCACAAACCCCACAGCACCTGATAACCTGCAAAAATCGTGTCAGTCTGATGCACCCATCGATGCTGTGGTATTGGCAGCTTTGATCTCACCGACCCAGTAATTCTTCACACACACTAAGATCTTCTCCTTGACGAACGGGCCGTCCTCGTGGTCGGCGAGCCGGCACTCCCACCGCATGCCTTGCGTGATCACCATGACCTTGTTCACGATCTCCACCTCGTCGCGTATCAACACCGCCCCCTCCGGTCGAAGGATCCGGTCCATTTCCAACAGCACGTACACAATATCACACCTGCACGGGTGCCACATCCACGATCAGGTTGCAACTCGTTGGGCACTGAAGGCACATCCAGTGTGGAGATCTATGAAGCTAAAAGCCAAAGGGGGTTTTGCGTTCGTTCTCGACGTACCTGTCTTGGTACATGCTGAAAACTTTGTCTGCGTGGATCAGGTCGTAGGTTCGTGGATACGTGGAGAATGCCTCGCACCTGATCACAACTAATCGCCGCTTTGTCAGAGCTTTTGTAGGAGCTTCGGAGTACAGCGTAGTGTTAAAAACTGTGTAAAACGGGTTGGGAAACAGGAGCGTATAGAGGAGGACGAAGACGTTACCAGTTCTGATAAGTTCCAATAAAACCACGCTCGAAGATCACGCCCAGAGTGTCAACTTTAGCTTCCGGAGGCATGGCATTCATGACCCACACAGGCTCCTTGACAAGAGCGGCGGCAAAACCTCCGAGTCCTGCATTCATGTCCATAATGTTCCTGTACCGACCGTTAGTAAGTGGGGGGATCAGATGGGTTTTGTAGTACTTGATTCGCTTCTGCCACAGCTTCGTGTCCTCCTTGAACTTCTGCGCCGTCATGAAAGGAACGCTTCCACTACTGATCCTTGGGGGAATGGCAGTCGAACGCGCAGGGAATTTAGCCAATTTGCCGCCAGCAACTTCGCTTCTACTCGTCACATCCGGGAGTGGAGTGATGCACGCTTCCAATTTGCGGTACCTGTGCCACAAGTAGAAAACTGGGCTTCACCGACCATCTACATCTCAGGGCTGCTAAGATGAAATACTTTCTAGTATGCTATGTTCAAGTTGTAAGATAGTCACAAGAGAGAAACTACCAAAAAAATACAAACTGAATATGTTGTACACACAACAGTTACAGGCAACTAGTCACGCTCATGACAAGTAGAGAGCAGAATTGAACGCACCATGCATGATCAGGGTGCTCCTGCTTGCTGCACATACGAGGGGAGATATTGGCATTCTTCTTATGATAAGCCGTGCAGTCCATGTGGTTGAGGGGCTTTTGCCAGATAGCGAGGTTGTCTTTCTCGACCACCTTCTTCCAGCACAGTCGACGAGCACCATCCTCAATTGAGTCCTGCTCTGCCTTCAAATCTTCTTCCGTTCGCTCCCAGCCCTTGTGGTATTTCTTCCAGTTTATGGGAGGACCAGACAGAATCCAGTATCCACCAGGTCTCAGCACGCGATCCACCTCAATTAGGTAAATGTTGTCTGCACGCATACATCGTCGCATTCAGAACTTGTGCCTTAACAGGATCCAGTTTGAGACGAATCTGATAGCGAAGTAATTCTGTTGAAATGTCAGAGTTGCACACACCTACACTACAGTAGAAACGGATGAAAACCTAGCATATCTCGGAATGATGGAATAGACAGACGGGGTTTCTGTGCCACAATGGATAAATACTTCTAGAAAGAGAATAAGGAAAAGTATTCCAAAAAAAGAAGTTCATGCACTTCCATTTAGGATGCAATCGGCAAGTGCCACAGATGCTTACCCATTTTACCCCATGGGATAAGGCATCGTGAGCAATGTGCCATGTCAAACGCCCGGGCAGGATAGGGCAGCCGAATAGTTGCCATAATACCAAGAATGGCAGGTACTCCTCTCTCGAGAGCAAACTGGATTTGAGATACGTGGGTGTCTCTTGGAGCAAATGACATGGCAAGAATGTTCTTCTTCAACAAGTAGGCTCCCCAACTCGCCACCTGGTACAATCAGAAATGAGAACTCGACAAATTTCTACACTACAGAGAAGGAAAATGCGCGGCGTCAGGAACTCGAGTATGGGTGTTTTGCTTAACAGCAAAGTTGGACGCAGGGTAGAAACTAACCCCGCAACCAGTATCGAGGGCAGTGCGGATGGATCCATTGTCCAATGGAATGAGAGCAGCAATGTCGGCAATGTACTTGTCCGCACCTCCAGCTGAAAACGTACCACCGCCGGGGAAGTAAAGCTTCTCACCTCGGTACTGTACCCATTTCTGAATGGCTTTCTCCACTGTCAACTCTTTGTGAGGAGTGTTGGCGTACCATGCATAGTCCCGGCTCTTGGGCCAGGGGAAGGGGTTCTTATACCCTGGAGGCGCTGGCACGAGGCATCTCAGAAGCTCGTCTTTCGTTGGACAATGGCGCTCGCGGTACTCCAGCCTGTCCCTGGGGAACTTGAGAGCACGCTCTGGGTCCTCACAGGGAGTGACCTCGCTGTATTTCATGTCGCAAGGCGGGAACTGTTCGATTGTGGAACCATCGCTGGTGGTGCTAGCCGTCCCGTGGTGAGCCCCAAAGTCGAGTGCAGTGGCGGAAGTACCGCAAGCTGTTCCATCTGCATTCTTCCCACTAACCACAGAACCTCCACCATTTTGCCATGAGCCTAGAGTGTAGAAGAAGCAGCAAAGACCTAATACAACAAGAATCCAAGTTATTCGTCGCCTCCTTGCATTGTCCAAGCTGGCAAGCTTCGGTGAGCTCGGCTTCCCCATTACAAAACCTGTCACAAACAAACAGGGAGGACTTCGTGAACATGGATTCATACACAAAATAACATAAAATCACATGATAGCATCCTGGTCACACCCGTATTTTACTTTCGGGGAGGCATAGGACATCGTGGAAAGTGTGCTACTTCTCAAGATGTAATGGTGACGAAGTGTACGTGCTAATTTGTAAACATTAATTCCTTTTGGTTAATTAGAGGATCATGCGAAAGAGCAAAGGAGTGAATCGCTCGTATCACCAGCTGCTCAACAATCAATTGCGACTGGAGCTAATGCACAGCACGAATCTAGAGAAGAATGCGCAACTGAGACGCCAGTAACAAACATTCGTTGACAATGAGTACCATCAGCAGCCACTCTTCAAGTACAGGATATTCACACAGGTGTGAATTTGCGAGCTCCTAGACATGATCCGATGAGAGTGAAGAATCGACTCGGTTGAATCCACACAAAGCCCCCCGAGAATGACAGGAACTGTGTACATTCGCGTAGCGGACAATTTTCTACAGACTCCAGTTCACAAGATCCAATGCTTCGACACACTCAGGCACTCGAAGCGTCATTGAGGTAGGAGCTTAAGATGCTCTTAACGTGAGACAAAAAAAATCCTGCTTTATGAACTGAGCCCTCAAACTTGTGATCTCTGGTTAGATTTGCAGATCGTGGTTCGCAAGAGAAGAAAAATGTGCGGTTGCGAGCACCAAAGAGTATCTAAGCTTATGATTGAGAGTACCAAAGCTTTAGAAGTATCGATGACTGCGAAGGTTCAAAGATTCTCGACGATGTGAAAATCCCTCACTACTATTGTTAGAAAGTGGAATCGTGGGACACAAGCAATCTGGATCAGTTTGATGCGGTAGATGACATCTAATCTGACGAAGTTAAAGCAGCGCGAACAGTGCTTCAGTGCCAGAAAACAGCGCCGCCTCCGCAACATCCAGGCGCAATCTACCCAGTAAACGGGAAGAAAGCACGTATACATCACCACAATACTCATCTTCTTGCACGCAACACACTTGCGCATGTGTCTATCCATCTTCACATCCCTCGTTCAGCAATCAGTCGTCAAACAACCAATCGGCTACACGAACCACGAACTCAGTCTAAATTTTTCAGAGACAGGACTTGATTCGATACTGCAAATTTATTGTTTCTAGTACTGGACACCGAGTCAAGATTGTACATCCAAAACCATCAAAAAAACTAAAAACAAAAAACAAAAAAACCAAACCAAAACAAAACCAAACGAAGACTACATTCATAACAAACCACACTCACATTCAGAAGCACAATTCTGGGCTGCTCAGCTCGTTAGAGTGTACACTATCGAGTGTAATGAGAATTAGGACGCCAAGCCACTCACCTTGAGGACACGACGGAAGAGCCCAGCAAGGCACCTTGCAACGCACGGAGGGATCCGCGGATTATGATATGCAGCGAGCACCCTGCCGAGTAACTAAGTCACCACACCAGTATCTGCCTTCATGCATCACCAAGCTCACGGAACAGAGAATGTACGTCGGCGACTAGCGACTGGCGATTCAGGTCTAGTAGCGAATCTAGCAGCGATGCAGAATGTGAACACTGCGAGCGAGAGAGAGAAAGAGCGAGCGAGCGAGCAAGCAGATTCGACGTGACCAAACAGTGACCGAAACGAGCCCGTCGCGCCGCGCTGCGCTGCGATGGGACGAGAGAAGGGGAGCAGCGAGATCTGAAACCGCGGCACACGGCACGAGCTGCATCTGCAGCAGCAACGATGCCGCGGCGGAGCAGAAACAAAAGCAAGTTGGCGCGGTAATAGGGAGCCGAAGTGGGACCACGGTGACACGCCCCCACTCCCTCCCTCCTCATTTACACTCGTTCCCCTTTCCATCAGTCAGCGCTTGCCACATCGGAGCCGCCAGCTCATCCTTTTTGTCGCCAGATCCCCCGTACAGATTCCATCCATCCCCATGGCCCCCCGTGAATTTCTCTCCAGCACCTGAATCGACTTTTTTCGGCCTTTTGCCTTTCTGGGGAAAGTCTGCCCCCAGATTTTGAAAAAAGGGCTTTTGGGTGATTTTGCTCTTTGTATTTATATTTTGTTTTTTAGTAAGTATAGTTAAAAAATCATATTCTAAGGCATGGTTATTAAAATGTATTCTGATAGCTTTGATGCATCCCAATCACATGGGTTGGGTAGTAAACAATCTTAAGAACTATTTAAAAAAATAAAAATAAAAAATAAAAAATGGAGGAGAGGAAATGAAAGAGTAAAAAAGAGTTTTTATAGTTTTTTATAGTTTTTTTTTTTTTTTGGTGTAAATGTGTATATACATTATCAAATTACAGGATATGCTTTTACACATGTACATCAAAAAATTATAAAAAATGTACACATGTACATCAAAAAATTATTAAAAATATAAATTAAAAATTTGTAGAAAATGCATTTTTTACAAATTTTTAATTTTTAAAATTCTTCATTTCAAAAGGGAAAATTTGAAATTTATATTTATATATATTCACTTTTATTTTTTTTTAAAACGTTAAAATAAATATTTTATTTTTAAAATTTGAACATTAATGTGTAACTTGTAAGCTGAAATCATACAAAGTCTAATGCTATGTATTCTAAAATAGCCATAGTAAAAAATGAATAAGATTAACATAATTATTATACCAATTATTTTATTCTGTATTATAAGTAGAGTTTCTAATTATGCATTGTGTTTAATATGTATTATGATGTGAGCTTCTAAAAAGACTTATTCTTGTTTTCAAACAAGTATTCTTTTGTAATGTGATATTTAGTTTGCAAGTTGGTGTTCATTGTTATCCTTGTAATTAATCAAAGTATCAAGGAATTGATTTTTTAGTAAGTATATTGGACATATATAAAGAAATGCAAGAAAAATAATAATAAATAAAAAAAAATAAAGAAGAAGAAGATTGATCTTCCATGGTTTTTAGATATAACCATTTTTTAAAAAATTATAAGCAAAGAGACAAGGGAAGTTTGTTTGTTTTTTATTTCTATTTTGAAGCACTTGAAAATTATCAATTGAATAATTTTTTAATTATATTAGAAATATATAGATATATATATATATATATATATATATATATATATGTTTCCACTTCAATTCTACAAGCACCTACTTTTGATGTAGATCTGCTGTCTATATGAATAACTGAACATAAATTCTTGGATCTTTTTTATTTCAATTTTTTTGATGTATACTACATTTTGATCAATTGAATACACTCCTATTCCAATAGATGCACTTCTTAAAATACTTGTGATAGAATAAAATATATAGGTTTACATTGCATTTACATCATAGAATTGTATTACAATTAACTGAAATATAACAAATACATGCATGCAATGTAAAAGGTGGGTTGCTTATTTATACTCTATCTTGTTAGATAAGTTAGAAAGAAAAGACAATTATAATTAGAGCATAAATTAGATAAAAAGTCTGTTTTATATGTAAAAAAGAAAAAGAAAAAAGAAATGTGGTATCTCATAAGTCTAAATTCTACTTAAAAGTTATCAACTGGACATTTTATGATTTAGTAATATTTTCTCTTATATATCATATGGTTTGTACTTTAGTTGTTGAAGATTCTTTAAAAATATTTTGAATAGACATATATTTGATTCATATCTGAATTTATTCCTTAAATGTTGTATAAAGTAAAATTATTTAAACAAACATATTAAATGGAATCTTTATTAAATCTTGAAAGGACATAAAACAACAGATCATAAGTTAAAAGATAAATTAAAATAATAAAATAATAAAATAAAATAAAATAGAAAATAAAGTAATTTATCAAAGGTTGTATTATAGTAAAAAAAATGATAAAGATGTATTTTAGTTTTATAAAAAATTAATGTATTGGCTTAATAGGTATATTTAAAGAATATAGATTCTATTTTCTAAAAATAGAAATATTAAAAATTTATTGATAGAATGATTTATTAACTTTTTGAAATTAAAATAGAAATGCCTTGTTAATATCAACAAAGATAAAAGATAAAATACATATCAATGATTAAGATCCAATTGTAATTTTCTTTCAACAATACTAAGTGAGATCAATTATAACATACTAATCTCACATTCACACATGCCATTAGTAGCATTATCTTTCCACAAACACACTATTTATGTGAAGATAAAATTCATCCCTCATTCCAAATTACAAAATGGTTTCAACTAAGAATTTTTTGTAATTGGTGGTGTAAAATAGAAGAAGCAATAAATAAGAAAAAAAGAAGAATAATATAAAACAAGTAAAATAAGTACAATCAAGCAATTGCATTATAAAACTAGTCACAATTTGTTCATTGGTTTTTTACTAAATAAGAATTAAAAGTAAAAAAAAAAAAAAAAAAAAGTAATTTTTTTTATCTTTTTGATGATATACAAAAAATATACATCCAAGTTATTATGAATAACTTATGATAGTTTAAAGATGGAATGTAAGTAATAAATTAATTAAGTAAATAATTTTATCTTAAAGATAATTTTCTTAAAAAATCAAGAATTCAAACTTCACTAAGGCTCACAAGTAGTGTATATAGGTGTCTTAGAAATGCCACAAGGTCTTGGTCTTATTCTCCAAACTACATCCAAAGTACTACAATCCATACTAGACTTGTGTACTTCTTTTTCTTCAAGGACTAAATTAGGTGATAGTCCTTAATTTTGTACTAGTAGAATTAATATTTGTATATTTTTTTTTTTACTTTATTACAGAATTTAACAACAACCAATTAGTTTGAATACTTTGCATGGCATTTAAAACTTACTCCATTTCTTTACAATGGCTCTCAATGTGGTAAATTATTTTTTTATCAAAGACTTGAAAATTGCTCTAAAAATTCCTAAAAAATTATAAATAAATTCTAAAAACATTTAAAAGTCATAAAATGCTTTTGAAATGCCAATATAGTTTTAATCTTATATTTTATTATTTTTTTCTAATAAAATAAATTAAAATCAATTAGAAATCATATATTTTATATAAATAATTAAAAGATATAAAGTTTTTTTTATGCTACTTCTAAATACTAACCAAAATTTATGGAATTTTTATAAATAATACATACATATAAAAGACTAATATAAGCACACATATAAGAAACCTATCTTGCAAAATAAGACATGAGTCTTGTATATTCAACACATGTTGGAAGGTCTATGGAATGT